TCAGTAGTATACAGATACAGATTGATAGGGAATGGCCTAAATCTGCATCTTAAGTCAATAAATGCAGAGGAAGAAGCCGTTACTTCTTAAATCTGGATCTACTGTACGTTGTGGTCATAATTAGACTTAAAGGGTCATTAAGTCAGGTACTAATGTCTGAATGATCAGCGAGCTCGCCTTGTAACCAGGTCCTGCGTTCGAATCCTGGTGGGTGCGAACTGATGAAGAGCCCCATACTAAGACGAAACAGCTGTCCTGTACTACCTACTGGTTTTCAATAGTTCGCTAACTAATATCAATCCTAGGTCAAAATTGAAAAACAAATAAACTCCGGAAATGATTTTATTGGACAACTTTTCGTCTCATCGTCTAATATTGGACCCGTCATCAACCAACCAGAACAGTTTATTGTCCGCTGACCTAACCAACTTTCAGTGTGGTTAAAAATGTATAAATATGATGTGTTTTTCCACAATACAATGGTCCTGTACCAATTTTCTTATCTTTTGCCGTTACACAGATATTCATCGTAGACGAATTTATATAATATACTATAAGATAACACTTCTCGCTCTTACTTCATTTGTGTTCCCAGTGGGGCGTATAGGACTTCAAGTTTCAGTAGCAGTACTGTTGCTTTTAAGAGGTGGGGTTGCTAACCTCACACACCTCAACTTCCCACTAAACTGGGCTTACTACCAACCGGGAAAGCGAAGTTTAGGGAGTGCGTCAGCCGTAAATCGAACCCAAACTATTTGGGGCGTGGTTAGCGAGTATTCTACAATATTGAACGATCCATTGACCCACACACAATGCCACTATTTAAGGACAATATATAACTATTTGAGGAGGCAAAGGGAGTAATAAGACTAACAGTTAAGCGTCTAAATAGAATGTACACTCAAAACGAACTTCCTACAGTAGAAGAAACAAAGAATTTGAAGCAAAACAATCAATGAGTTTGACTCTAAGCCATATCTAATAACATTACTGAGTAAATTTGAGTCGCATAGTATCTCAAATGTCACCACGGGATTTATGTTGCCACTAAACAAAGTGAAACCGAAACTAATATCCTTTACTTCACACACCCGTGTCATGATGAATTCATATCTTCTTTTTTTTTTCAAATAATCCCTAATAGTAGCCAACAATGAACAAAATGGAAGATACTAGGATGACTTTGATATATTATTGATATAATACTCAATAACCACGTTCATGTCGATGCAATGTGAGGGTTTATTGAAAGTGCAGTGGGGTTCAGGTCTGTAACTTCCCAACTATCTAAACTTTCAACGTCTACCAACAAATAGGAAAGACAGAAACTGGTTTCAAACATGGATGCAGATGTAACCACTAGGTATTCACATTCATTCAGACACAGATTTACTCATTAGTGTCTGACATCCGTTATATTTCCTGACATGAAAGTAGATCAATACGATTTCAGGTAGTATCATATTTGAACAAGGCATTAAGAAGACAAATTTCGCGAGATGATATCATTTCGTAGTTTCTTTACAACCGCTTTACAACTAACATGGTTAACAATGATAAAATAAAGTTCATGAAATTTACTCAGTTAAATAAAAACAAAAGTACATACTAATGACGAATCATATTAAGATAGGTCATGCAGTCCAGGGTAGGCGAAGATTGAAGTCTATTGATTTTTGTACACACAGTTTAGGCTGTATGTGATTAATCCCCAAAGTGCTTCCATCACCTTCAATAACCTTGAATTAGAGTTATGTGAAATAATTGTGAAACAGTCATTAATATTTATTTTGTGACCAGACATTAATAAGTGTTTTGCAATGGATGATGCTGGATTTCTACAAAGATTAATCGCGTTGGGATTTTCGATATGGTTTACTAGCCATTTTGGAATATGTTCTTTTCGACGACATTGGAACATTTTATTGGTTCTACCTTCATAGGTATCACAGCAGCTGCAGGTGAACTTGTAGATACAGTTTGAAGTAGAGTCCACAGAATTTCGTCCTTTAATCGTAGGTAGAGGGATCGAAAATGTTCGGCAAGTGAGAAAAAGAGATGCGGCGTAGAATGTGCGTTTGATGGCTGATCGAAGTCTTTGAGTTGTCAACTGCATAATCTGGTCGCCCTTGAATGGTAGATTAATAAAGATGGCTTTCTTTGGTACAGAAACTGTCTTTTCGAGATGTGGTTTTTCTTTGCTGTGACAAGTGATAAAGCTCTCCGGATAACCATTAGCTAATAAAACTGAATGTACATGTCGAAGCTCATCCATCAGTGTGTCACTCGTACATATTTTCCGGGCCCTTGAGAACAAACATTTCACTAGGGAACGTTTATACTGGATAGGAGCAAAACTGGTAAAATGAAGATATTGTCCAGTCCATGTTTGTTTACGAAAAATAGAGCGCTGAATCGTTCCATCATTTCTCCTAGTCATAGTAATATCCAGGAAACCAAGTTTGTTATTCGATTCTAGTTCGGAAGTCACTCGAATATTTGGATGAATATGATTAAATAGAGTAATGAAGTTTTCAATAGATTCACTATTATTACCAATAATAAGAGTATCATCTACATAACGTTTATACAGCATAAATCCTCCAAGCATACCTTGCATTTGTTTCTCTAATTTCGACATAAATATATCTGCGATGGGGAGCCCTCTGGGGCCCCTGTTAGCAGATATATTTATGTCGAAATTAGAGAAACAAATGCAAGGTATGCTTGGAGGATTTATGCTGTATAAACGTTATGTAGATGATACTCTTATTATTGGTAATAATAGTGAATCTATTGAAAACTTCATTACTCTATTTAATCATATTCATCCAAATATTCGAGTGACTTCCGAACTAGAATCGAATAACAAACTTGGTTTCCTGGATATTACTATGACTAGGAGAAATGATGGAACGATTCAGCGCTCTATTTTTCGTAAACAAACATGGACTGGACAATATCTTCATTTTACCAGTTTTGTTCCTATCCAGTATAAACGTTCCCTAGTGAAATGTTTGTTCTCAAGGGCCCGAAAAATATGCACGAGTGACACACTGATGGATGAGCTTCGACATGTACATTCAGTTTTATTAGCTAATGGTTATCCGGAGAGCTTTATCACTTGTCACAGCAAAGAAAAACCACATCTCGAAAAGACAGCTTCTGTACCAAAGAAAGCCATCTTTATTAATCTACCATTCAAGGGCGACCAGATTATGCAGTTGACAACTCAAAGACTTCGATCAGCCATCAAACGCACATTCTACGCCGCATCTCTTTTTCTCACTTGCCGAACATTTTCGATCCCTGTTCCTACGATTAAAGGACGAAATTCTGTGGACTCTACTTCAAACTGTATCTACAAGTTCACCTGCAGCTGCGGTGACACCTATATAGGTAGAACTAACAGAATGTTCCAATGTCGTCGAAAAGAACATATTCCAAAATGGCTAGTAAACCATATCGAAAATCCCAACGCGATTAATCTTAATAGAAATCCAGCATCATCCATTGCAAAACACTTATTAATGTCTGGTCACAAAATAAATATTAATGACTGTTTCACAATTATTTCACATAACTCTAATTCAAGGTTATTGAAGGTGATGGAAGCACTTTGGATTAATCACATACAGCCTAAACTGTGTGTACAAAAATCAATAGACTTCAATCTTCGCCTACCCTGGACTGCATGACCTATCTTAATATGATTGGTCATTAGTATGTACTTTTGTTTTTATTTAACTGAGTAAATTTCATGAACTTTATTTTATCATTGTTAACCATGTTAGTTGTAAAGCGGTTGTAAAGAAACTACGAAATGATATCATCTCGCGAAATTTGTCTTCTTAATGCCTTGTTCAAATTTATCAAAGGGACTAATTGTTTTAAGTATCATATTTCACTGGATTGGATGTCTGAGAAAACACGGAAAGCACAATAATCAAACATTTATGATCACACTAGAGCATGTTCCAGTTATTCAGTCACTTGCTTCGAACAACAGATGTTCGCCAAAAATATTCATTCTTCCCACTTTGATTCCAATATTTAATGGATATTCCCACACCTGCAATTATAGGGATTAACCTCATGGTTTACTTAGAGTATGCAAAGAAATCAAGTCCATAGGACTACCACTGCACCTCTCAAATGTAAAGAACTATTCCAGGAATGGTTTGTATAGTAACACTATAAGCTCTAGAAGTTTTTACTATACCATACACAATCTAAAATGTTTATAATAAAAATGTACATGTGACTAACTTAATGCCCTTTCTCTTTTTCTATTTCATAACAAATTTCAGTCCAAAAGTAATGTTACAGTACGTATAATAATGATTCACAGCGTCGGTGCTTCGATCATTCAGTACTGGCTAACCACATGGAAGGTTGGGGTTCGATTCCCACCCAGCGCATCCCCAAACCTTACCAAGTCAATAGTAAACATGGAAGAGAGGGAAAGTTTTATACGCACCTAGTAATCTCACGCCGTAAAAACAAGGTCAGTGCTGAAGCTCCACAGCTTAAAGCCATATTTTCCACTCAGAACCCAAAGGGACTAAATAATAATAATAACAACTAATCTATAGGTGGTATGAATAAATACTGATCTGAAGTGATTTTTTAAAATTCCTTCCAATCTAAGTAGAACATGGAATTTCAAGCTCCTGTAGTTTCAGTGACAGTTGTGTTGTTTTCCAACTGAGGTAGGACTGCCAGACTCACGACCAACTTTCCCTCTTTCCTGGACTTACTATCGACTAGTAAGTTAGATGAGGTTTCGGATTGCAGTGGCTTGGAAGAGAACTTTGTCCTTCCCAATGGATGGCAAGCGTTCTATTACATTAACCTATCGTTGTAAATACTTATCCTATGAAAATTTTTTATTCATAACAAATTTGAAAATATTGATTCATGTCATCATCCTACAGGAAGAGAACTTTAATATTATAAATCAGAAGAAGCACAATACTACTCTTAAACTTAAATTTCACCTGATTAAATGGATTTTCATCAGATTTTAAACTTTGTAAATATGTGATCCGATCGTGTGCTACTGTCTCCCAGGTAGTTTTGTTAACCAAAGCCAAATAAAGATGGAAACCAAGTATTAAAGTTACAGGTATTCCACATATTGTTAGTATAATTATAAAAAAGTAGTATAGACAATTACTACGAAACCAATCACTCCAATCAGTTGTTTGAATTAATGAACACCTAAAATAAAAAAATAAATAAATATTCTTTTCAGTATAAAATTAGGCAATATATAATTTTACAACATTACATTAAGTGCGTCGGTGGCACAGTGGTTAAGGACGCTCACCGACCATGCAGATAGTCCGGGGTTCGATCCCTGGCCACTGGACGCACTCCTTTACCTCGCTAAGCCAGAAATAATGCTGGTAAAGAGAAAAGGTTGGGCATGAAACTGGCTAGCAACCCCATCCTGTAAAAATTAAAAACTGCTACCGAAACTTCAAGCCACTAGCTTGAGGCCCTATGTTACACTGGAAACGTGAAGGAAAGAATAAAAATTTGAAATATTACATTCAACAAAAAAAGGAAGAAAGATTAGTTCATTATTAAGCATACTATAGGTGATCCAATCTGTTGTTATCACCATATAACAGATTAGAGATTATCAAAAATGAAAATGCGTTAAAATGCAAATAGGCATTCAGTTGACAATGTTAACTAACTGACTATTATTCCATCTTATACTTTGTGTACCCCGATACAGTTTCTCATATAATTTTTATTCATTTACCTTTACTGGCGGCTATTTGTATTCTAATATTCATGAATTTATAACTGTACAATCTGAGGCTGAAGAAGAAACTATTGAAAACAATTGTTCACTAAAAAAATTTTCTTGTCTTGATAAAACAGACTGTTTAAAACAAATATAAGAAAAACTTTATCTAATAAAGGAGTAGTATAGACTAGAATGAATAGAGCGTTCAACCATACTATAATTCTTAATGTCACTCACTGTATTGTAATTAAAACACACACTCAGCACATTATGAGCACACCACACAAAAACTCATAGTTTGTCAGAAGGCTACGATACTGTTCGGATGCCTAGACCAAAGAAGGTGGTTGTCTTATATGGGGCCACCTAACGCCCCCCCCCCCGTCCTGGAGTGGCTGACTTGAAGGCTGTGAAGCAGTTTCAGGTATTTTAAATTCTGAAGGTCGTATACACCATAGATTTGGAATTAGGCTTTTCCCGCTCCCCTAAAGAGGTCTGCATATCCACCAGACGTTTGCATTTGCCCTTTTACTTTTGCGAAGAACAATCTCTCCGCGTGAAGGCAGTAAATCAGATTTACACCATAGAGGTTATCAACGCGTGATTACATATAATATGACCAACTTATTTATTATGATATTATGGCTTAAAATAAGTGAGTTGATGAACACGATACTATCGGTGAGTGTAAATTTCAAAAAGCCTCAAATGTATACCTATTTGGTTGGTATTAATGTTCTTCAAGTAAATATTAAATACATACTGTAAAAATAAAAGTCACTATACTTGAAAGTCAATCCGTATCCAGTGTGACCTTCATCACCATCTGACAGTCTACACAAAGGTAGTGTAACTTTGTCTCATAGCATAACATTCCTACTTTTGTGGTCAAATAAAGCAGACATTGAATACAAACCACTGAGAAGCACAGGCAAAAAAATCATAATCAAGAATTAGTTTCATTTTTTGTTGTTAATTATTAGTTGAAGTGAAATGATTAGCTTTTGTTAACATTTCAGCTCCTAGTACACACACTTCAACAATGTCTGAGGAAGAGCATCGATGTTACTTAGTATAGTGGATGGTAACTACCAGCGGAATCCAGGAAATATGTTTTCAGCTCATTCAGGACTTGTCGTCTGAATGTGCCTGCAGTCCATCGTAAGTGATAATGAAACCCAGCATTCATAGTTCAAACGCCTAAGAATTATCCGTTAGACCACTTGGACCATGAGAACCACTACTTGTGTGACGGATACCGGCTGACGAGTCCCAATCGGGACGAAATGAGTATCCAGTATTCCACTGCTAGTCACTGTCCCACACCAAATAACATTTTGTTTTAACTCCTAAACAGAACAACATGAACGTATACATCACTGAACAATAACAATAATAATAATAGTAGTAATAATAATAATAATATATCTATCTAACTTACCAAGAAAAATACATACTCCACCAAATTGTAATAGTTTGACAGAAGAGAAATACAACAAATGCTGAATGATTCCTTTCTCCGATACAATTACCGACCCATGGACAATGATGGTCAAATTTCAGTACACAACGATTACAATCAGGACAATGGCGACAACGTAGAGGTTGCTATACAGCATATTTTTTTAAATGATATCAAAATAAAAATAAAATTAAAAAGGAAAGCATCATAAAGAAGAGAAAGAGGAGACAAACTGTGATTAGACAACAAGACTAAAGTTGATTATGAGTACAGTAAATTTTCAAAACAAATATGATATGATTTAAATGAAAGAGGAGAAGAAGGCAAATCACACACAATTGGTTAGCTCAAAATCATATGAGACTGGTGTCTAAATTTTGTATTGTTAAAATGGCATCAGACTCCTTTCATTTCATATACAGAAGAACAAGTATGAAATATACGTTGAATTTTTCAACAACAGCAAAAAAAAAATCCAATTTCCACTATGCAGCAGTTAGGATATTTGCAACTACAGTATGTAGCGTATTTCCTGATTTTTATCTATTGAGAGTAACATTACTATAGGAGATGTTGTCTTCATCTACAAAACTAATTTGGATATACTTGTGATTCATAAATATCATTCTCTCATGGATTAAGTTTTACCTTTGCGTTTTTTTTTTCAACTTGCTTGCACAACACATATTTTTTGTTACTTTGAAACTAACATCTTCACTTACACCTTTAATATGCCCAGCTTATTTCATCTGCCCCAAAAACATCTGAATTGAATGTTAACAACTGTATTATGACTATTTACTCAAACCAGCCAGCTGTCTTTATTTTTGGTGTTACCTGTGTACAGCGTTTGGAAAGAGTTGTCTTATTATTATTACTGTTCCCCTAGGTTTCTAGTGGAACATAGGGCTTCAACTGCACGTCTCCACTTGCCACTTCTGTCTTCCTTCTGCTGTACTTTTCACCTGCATCCATGTTAGTCCATACTGTTTCAACTCCTCTCTCTTCACACGATCTCCTCCATGACACCCTTCCACTGACGTCCCACTCGACGGCTTGACGCGCGATGTCACACAGCGGCCTCCTCAGCGAGTAGTGTCCAATCAATCTCCACTTTCGCCTGCATATTTGTTGGTTGGCGATTGGTTCTTGTTTTGTTTGTTAGTGCCCATAGTTCCTTGTTGGTGATTCTTTCCGGCTCGGTTATCTGATATTCAGTATAGAGGGAAGACAGTTAGTGGTTGGTAAAGGTCTACAATAGCCTGTTGGAAATATTCTTTGTGACCCGCCCGCCAAGTTTCTCATACGTATAGAAGAACTGACTGACTTGACGTTTGTATTGAAAATCCGACTGAATTTTGTTGTAGATGCTGGCTGAGTGACGAAGATTTCCAGATTGGTTTCAGGTTGATGAATGTGTGTGTTTCTCACTTTCCCGATACTCGATTTGACATCTTCGTCTGCCTGTAGTTGAGACAATGATCCCTCCCTAGATAAGTGAATGAAGTAACCTCTTTCAAATCCCTCCCGTTGTTGGTGATTGGCGCTGGATGTTGCTGTTGTTGTTGGTTGGTTATTTTCATAACCTCCGTCTTGTCTATGTTCACCTGGAGTCCTGTGTTAGGCAAAATTTATTATTATTTGATCATCAGTATATATATGCTAACAGTCAAGATTCATATTTTCAATGATGTCGTTCAGTACAGCCTAGTCGATAATCCTTTGGAGGTGGCAGCGATGAGTACTAGGTTCGAATCTTACTGGGAAGACCATCTCACACTGTGGAGCTGACGAGACACACACACAGAACGAAACACGCTTTCTCAATCCCACTACTAGCCGCCACAAAATAAGCAGCGTTTTAGTTATAATCATGTTTAATATGGAAGAATCTGTTCAAGGAACCTGTATGCCAAAATGAGGCTGATTAATTCAAGAATGTGAGAATGGAATTTTGGCACTGTGGTAGAATAATAACAATACCATAATAGATAAGTTTATTTGATATAGCACTGGAAGAGTGATAAGGGTATTATTATTGACTGGATGAAGTTTTAAGCACGATTTACTACTCATAATCATATCAATGCATATTCGCACGTCTTCATAATTTGCTAATATATATTTTTTCTATCCCCATTGCTTTTTATTCAGATTTTCTATAAATCCGACATAGGGGTTGAAACATTTGCATAGCACAAGTTTGGTGTAGGTCGGATGAACAAAGATTCAATGACTAATCTCCCCACCCTCCCTCTACATAAACACAATACTTTTCACTACGTTCATCCTATCCTATTCTACCGGGTTAGTACGTACATACAAGTGAATGTAATACAATGGTCGAGGTATTTTTTTCTCTAGATTATTTAACTTAGTAAGATCAACCATTATGCGTCTAGCTAAACTGCTATTTTCTGATAATTCTGATCATATAATTGACTCTGATTTAATAGTTTGACCTATGCAATTGACTTCACAGTCATTGTATGATATTTGATAAATTATGTTATTTTTATTCGAGTGTTGGTTTGTAGGGATTTGATTGTTTGCAGGATTTCATCATGAGCCGACAATAGTTAGAGAACCATTGGAAAACCAGCTGGGAGTACTGGACACCTCTTTCGTCAGCCTAGTTTGAGACTCCTAAACCGTAAGCACCCACCGGGATTTGAACCCAGGACCTTCTGGTTACAAGACAAGCTCGTATACCATTAAGCCACTGGGAACCGATCCAATGACCTATGAATTCAAGCTTCTGCCAATTCACGACATACCGCGACCCCCAGCCAATGTCTTAGGCGAGTATTTGTCCTCACACCCGACCTCCTGCACCCTTTCCTATCGGTTCCTCAAGTCGATAATATTTGTCATACGGGGAGTTGGTTGGCTTAAATGTCATCTTAATTACAGCCCAACAACAACAACAACAGCAACATCCAGCGCCAATCACCAACAACGGGAGGGATTTGAAAGAGGTTACTTCATCCACTTATCTAGGGAGGGATCATTGTCTCAACTACAGGCAGACGAAGATGTCAAATCGAGTATCGGGAAAGTGAGAAACACACACATTCATCAACCTGAAACCAATCTGGAAATCTTCGTCACTCAGCCAGCATCTACAACAAAATTCAGTCGGATTTTCAATACAAACGTCAAGTCAGTCAGTTCTTCTATACGTATGAGAAACTTGGCGGGCGGGTCACAAAGAATATTTCCAACAGGCTATTGTAGACCTTTACCAACCACTAACTGTCTTCCCTCTATACTGAATATCAGATAACCGAGCCGGAAAGAATCACCAACAAGGAACTATGGGCACTAACAAACAAAACAAGAACCAATCGCCAACCAACAAATATGCAGGCGAAAGTGGAGATTGATTGGACACTACTCGCTGAGGAGGCCGCTGTGTGACATCGCGCGTCAAGCCGTCGAGTGGGACGTCAGTGGAAGGGTGTCATGGAGGAGATCGTGTGAAGAGAGAGGAGTTGAAACAGTATGGACTAACATGGATGCAGGTGAAAAGTACAGCAGAAGGAAGACAGAAGTGGCAAGTGGAGACGTGCAGTTGAAGCCCTATGTTCCACTAGGAACCCAAGGGAACAGTAATAAGAAGAAGAATGCCATGTAGGGTATCTGATATTTCTTTTTGATACAGCAGTAGTACTACAGAGGCTCTATATATATCAATGAAAAATCACAAGAATGAATAAATAATTTCTGTAACATTACTTGATTTTCAGTGATTTATACACTGAGTACATATTGAAACACTGATGACTTTAATTAGTTCACTTTACAAGTTTAACTATATATCGATGTGAAATTGGGGACTTGAAGTGCTTAGAAATTTATTTTTTCAAAAAAAAACGCAAAATTTTGCAAACATATGAGATAAAAAACAGCACTGAACGAATTATTTACGTAACAATTATTCTTGAATGCTTTCACTTCTCTTTTATGCTATGTTTCTTTTTCTCTGTTTAATAATAGATTTCATTTTTCATTTATCAAATGTTATGGTTAAAATTGTAGTTAGGCGAAAAAAATTTTTTTTTCAAAAAGGTGAAAATTAATGAAGAGGAGCGCTAGTTTGCTGGATGATGGGAAACTTTCACTTTCATTCTGGATGGCATCAGTTACAATAGCTTTTTATGCTAACCTTGGATGTGATTAGAGCTATTTTATACAGCCATAGTATTATCGCTTATATGCGTATTTTAATTAACTATTCTGTCATTGTGAACTCTAATCATCTTTAATACTATTGCTAATTGGTATGTTTTTCTTTAAGATATCAGTCAAGGTGAAGGTGCTGAAGGCAGTGGAGAGAAAGTATATTGCACTAATCAAGACTGTGCACATTCGAACTCAGGAGAGCATCTTGTGTTTTTTGATCCCAGATATATGCGTTCGATTTCCTGTGTTAAATGATATCATATAGTGTGATATAGTAATAGTGAGGTTGTGAGTAGTGTTAGATACAGAGGGTGGGTAAATCGATGGGATGACTAGTACATGTGCCATGTACGCCGGACCACCGCCCTCCTCGACAAAAAATGATAACTGATACAGGATTAGGTTGGTCAAGTTGACTATTGGTTTGAGCCATCCACGTAATGAGGCATAGACTACCTGGTTGCGGACCTCGAAATACTAAGAATCGATGGCTTGAGACAATTGGTGATATGGCCTTTAAACTGTCCTCAATGGGCCAGATGCATTCATTCTTTGTGATCACACACACACACACACACACTAAATTTCCATTTTCTTCCATGTTACTGTTCTTTCTCCTGTACATTGTAGTTCTTTTGGATCTCTTCTCTCTCTCTCTCTATAATTTCTTTGTAACATGGAATGTAGTAACTTGGAGCACTACACTTCTGTGTAAAGTTCTATACTGAAACTTAGCTAGTCAGTCAGTGATGGTAATGATATTATCTTCAACACCATAAGAGCCGCCTAACAAATGAAACATCCAGTTCACAGAGAATAAAACAGAATGAAAATAATCCTCAATCATCTGAGTGATAAACTTCATTTAACAAAGTAGTTAGCTTTTATCCTGAAGTTTACTGTGATTTCGTAGACACCGTTATAAACGACTGCTTAACCTTGTTATTGTGAAAGAGCTTCAACATGAAAGTACCTTCTCTATACTAAAAAAAAACAGCTTACTTTTCCGTGAAGACAAGTTTAAGTAGTAGTTATTTATTCATTCTGAAATAAACATGGTATTGGATTTTACCTGACTACACAATAATCAGAAATCTAAAATCTCTAATAAACAGTAAAGCATATTGTATCCGCCTACGCACGACCAATATTTGGGACAGGACTTCGAGGCTTCTGCGCAGTTAGGTGGAGTTCAAGATATGTCAGCGATGAGGCTGCTACTTGGGACGCTGCTGGGAGGTCGGGAGAAAGCAGAATATGAAAGTGTGAGTCAATATACTGAGGAATGTGCGACAGGGTCAGGCAAACAGTTTCCAAAGTGGGAAGGACTACACATTGTCACGTTGAGATGGGGTTACACAGACACAATTGCAATGGTAAACAGAGAGAAACAGGTAAACATTAGCGAGTGCCGAGATTCCAGGCAGCAACACAAACGAGCAAAGCCCCTAGAACCAGGATGAACGAACCAACTTCACTCGCAAGTCTTTGACAGGGGGGCGAGTTTGGTGAGAGCTGGCTTTTAGCCAAAATCGGTGGACAGTAATTTACGTCAATGCTTATGTCCCCAATATATATATATATATATATATATATATATATATATATATATATTATAACCATTAACTTATTTTTTTTGTCGCCAATAGAGAAGTAATTCATCGGTTAATAACTTCCTCGACTGGAGATGTAGCGTATTAGCTTAAGCACACGACTTTCAGTCAGTGTGTAACAACGGAAGACAAGGGCCAGGCAACAGATCGTTTATTAATGAAATCAACACATATTTATAGATTTGCATTTACATATTATTCATTATTGTTAGCAGAAAACACTCTTCTGACTGGTTGTTTCTCACAGAAAGTTAACCTTGCATCTCTTTGTGGCTGTTTCTTGAATGTCAGATCATCCATATTTTAACTGTATCCGCCTACGCACGACCAATATTGGGGACATAAACATTGACGTAAATTACTGTTCACCGATTTTGGCTAACAGCCAGCTTTCACCCCAAGTGGATCTCAAGTTAGAGTCTTGCCCTGTTTAATCTAGCCAGGGCAACTAATCAGTATCATTAGTCACCATTGGCTATCAACCCAGTACTGGGTAATTGAGATGTAACTACTACTAACCTTCTTGAATGTTCATTTCAAAGACCTGGGGGGGGGAATAAAATGACCTACTTATAGACTAACTGAATTACAACATAGAACTTTGCACAAAACTGAAACACTCCATTTTGAACACAAAAGCAGAGAAAAAATCTCAAAAGAACAATGATGAACAGAAATATGTGGTAGAAAGAATAGTAACAAGGGAAAACATGAGGATTTAATGGTTCTGGTAGACTAGAAAAAGTAAAATGCATCTGCATCACTGAGAATTGTTTAGAGCCTTATCAGCAATATTCTCAAGCTAGTGGATCTATGTTAGTAACCCGAAGTCCTCAACCAGATAGTCTACAGATGTCTACGTGACTGGTGCTCAAACCAAAAGTTAAATACTTCATGGATTGGTACCATGTCTTGATTTGACCATCCCTAAAACGTTTTCTACCTAGTCATATATATATATATATATATATATATATCCATAAGATGTGTAGGAACTGAGTAAACTTGAACTTATTGAAATGACACGGGGTATGCAAAATAAAGTCCTTAATTAATAGATTGGTGGGTATATGGCATTATGAATATCCCATAATACTTCACAAACCTTATTATTTATTTTACGAGTTGATCACGGATTGATATCAGTTAGAGAACCATTGAAAACCAGGGAGTACTGGACAGCTGCTGTTTCATCCTAGTTTGGGAATAGTTTCCCAAACTAGGATGAAACAGCAGCTGTCCAGTACTCCCTGGTTTTCAATGGTTCTCTAACTGATATCAATCCGTGATCAACTCGTAAAACATAACTAATCCTTACAAACCAAACTATAGAAACTTATTATTTATCTTTCATGGGAAAGACACCGATAAGTAAGAAAACTCGAAGTGTACTCACTCTACAAAAATAATAATAGTAATAATAATAACTTACTTCTAGAAGACAATGCTTACAAAATCTTACAGGAACAGATAAATTGACTAAAACTTCACAATCTGTATTCATTTTAGAACATGAATAGTTTGACCAATCTCGTTTAAAATTCATAGTAAATTTATTCGATAATGTTGCAGTATCCGATTCTACTCCATTACAATGAGCTTCAAGAGAATGACATGGTGTATCACTGTGATCCAATGTCAAATTATGCTTAGAGCTTATATCAGAATTAACGGTTGTATACTGATCACCGGCATAAATAGCACGTTCATCGACAGAATCATTGGTTAATGAAATATGCCCACGACGATGTCGAAACCATCTAGCCTATTAAAGATAATAAGAATAGTAACAGTGTTGGCAGTAAATAAAATGAATTCTTTGTGTAGGCAAAGAGCAGTACATAATGCAATCAAGATGACTACTGTAACACATTAAGCGATGAAATTGTATTTTCATTATTATTATTTTGAAGAGTTGGTCACGGATCGATATTAGTTAGGGAATATTGGACAGCTCTTTCCTCCTAGTTTGGGAATCATCGGCAGTACGAACCCATTGGGGTTCGAACCCAGCACCTTCCGATTACAAGGCAAGCTCGTATACCAGTCAGCCACTGGTGGAAGTTAAAATTCATGGACCATTGAATTGGTTACCAGTGGCTGAATGGTAACCGAAAGGTCCTGGGTTTGAACCCCTGTAGGTGCGTACTGCCGATGATTCCCAAACTAGGAGGAAAGAGCTGCCCAGTATTCACTGATGGTTTTCAATGATTCTCTAACTGATATCAATCCGCGATCAACTCGTCAAAACAAATCTAATCCTTACAAACCAACTATAGGAAATTATTATTATTAAAACGAAAACCTGGTACATTATTGGCACCAAGAGATAAGTCACACAAAATCGTATAGTTTGTGAGAAGGCTTGGATACTGCAATGACACCCAGGCCAGAGCAGGTGGTTCTTATAAGCAGCTAACCCACCCCTTAGCCTTGGACTTGGAGGCTAATCCACAAGGCAGTGGAACAACGTCAGGAGTTACATTCCCATGGTTTTCAGGTTCATATGTCATTCGATCCTTTCAGATTCTGGGACCATAGGTTTAGAATCAGCGTTTCGCAGTTCCTCTAGGAAGATCTGCATGTCCACCAATTTGGTAATAAGCGTCAGACGTCAGTGTGAAGATAGTGAACAGGACTTACAAGATTCACTGAGAAAATCAAGCTTAATGTGACCTCAGTACATAAATAAGTGAAGATTTCTATATTATGGGGGGGGGGGCGAGTTTCACTCATACTGTGAACACAAATAATACCAAGTAAAGAAATCACTTTGAATCGAATTATTAAAAAAACAGCCAAAAATCACCTTTCACAATTTTCTACAGATAGTTAACAAATACGCATGATAAAAACGGACAGTGAAATCATAAAAGAGCTTATACTTATGCTACAAACTGTAAACGACTCATGCTGATTACTATCTCACTATGCACAAATCTTGATTTCACGCAGCCTGCAACTGATGAGAATCTGTGAAATAGAATGATGATATCATTTTATAAAGCAAATTTAATTTCTCCTGCTTTATTGGAATTTGTCACGGGAATCAGGTGTATATGACATATAAATAGAATTCAAATCTAAACAATCAATGGGAACCATACGTCATTCTAAGAATAAACTAATTAAGGTTGAATAGAGAATAAATATTTAATCTCAGATGTCAATGATCACAACAACAAACTACTGTGTAGGGAAAAATAATATTAGTAAGTGTATAGTATTTATCAGCTAATCAGGTGTTGAATAGACAGGCAGCGGATGATAAACAACATAACAATTAAATATTTACACTTTATGCCTTGTTCAATTTAAAGATTAATCTATTCGACATTTTTATGCAACTGATGACGACAAGAAACTGAATGAACAATAAATTCATTTCACATTGTATGTATTGTTCACATAGAATTGCCTAACTTTAACTAAACAACACAGTAATATGACGTAGTAAGTGCTAATTGACGGAGAAATGAAAATCCGAATCGCGAAAGGACTCGAACCGGGGGACCTCCGAATACTACTTCGATGCTCTATCAATCAAGTTGCGAGACCCAATCACTAGCCAGGATTATTTTCATTTCACTGTAATCACTACGACAACCAGTGGGACGATAAACGGATAATAATGTGGCCACTGGCAGTGAAATATAACTCTGGTTAGCAGTTAAATGCCGTGTGTCAGCTGATAAACAGCCGCACTAGTAGACTGAATGCCACAGGTCTGAGTTCTGCAGAGGCCTAGATTTTCATTTTGCCTTTAATCAGTGCCCATTATATCAACAACAGTTTACCAAGATAAAGCTATTTCATACACTCCCTAGTGACAAAATCTGATTAGAAAACTCCCTACAAAAATTCATAATATATAAATATGAATCTCCAGCTCATTGATGACTACTGGATGGATGTCCTGAAACTCTACTAAGAAGTCGTGGCCAATGGGATCCACCATGTCAACGTGAACTGGTTGCTCATCGAAGGCATTGGTTGGTAGTAGCGCTATATCACAAACTGGCAAGGTTAGATCATCAAATTCCGAAACAAGTGACTGAATAGGCAACTAGGTCGACCTCTTAACCTGAAAGTCCCGGGGTTTCATCTCTTGTGGGGTCATGGGTGTGATCACTGATGAGGAGTCTGGAACTAAGACGAAACAGTTATCCAATGCTTAGCGGTTTCCAATGACTTCTAAATGATGTTGGTTTGTGACGAAATCTCTACAAAAATTCATGATCTAAAAGAAGAAATGTTACTCAACAGCCAATTTCATTTACGTTTAGCAGTCAATGAGCTACACCTGTTGTGTGTGTAGGAGAGAGCTAGAGTATTTGGCTATCGAAATTTCGGTAAGTTTAGAGAGTTCCAAATACATAATCCATCCATTGGAACCTAAACCAACGAGCCACAATTCCACAAATAAAACAATAACAATGTCAGTGTGTGTATTTAATCTGTCATTGGACGAGAAACAAACACCCTCAAAACTTATGACAATAATACACACACACACACACACACTTCAAGATTTCCCAACTAAATTATTCACATGTTTATCATTGAATTTGTTTTAAAATAAAAAAAAGAGGAAGGAGAAAACAAACCTGATTCATCTTATTGTTTTGCCTACCTTTTCAGCAGTCAAGTAACCCGGATCAATACAACTTGTTAAGCCATAAGCAATGAGTGAAATACTAAAGAATGCAAAGAAGCATATGATGTGGATAAGATCCACTTGAATAAAAACAATTCGATGTAACTCTGAAATATGATGATGATGATGTTGAGGAAGAAGAGGTTTTAAAAAAACAAACAGAGAAACAAAAAATGTATTATTAACTTAATCAACTAATTGTGTACAATAAATAATTTCAACAATTGAAAAATTGAATAATGCTTATAATAAGGGATTAAATTACAACTGGAACAATTCCATGCAGTTAGCGGTGATGAGCAACACCTAGTGGGTGAGTGCTAGTGATATACTACCTAGGCTGAGCAAAACTTCAGTAGATGGAGCGGAGTTCAAAACTATTGTCCACTAGTTACAAGTTGAGTGCCTAGACTAATGAGTCGCACACCTCCAAACGAAAAACGATGATGCAATGGTAAAACGCTCACCAGCCAGGCACAAACACGAGAGAATCAGGTGGGCTTTAGACCAAGAAGAGGGGGTATTGTTCATATCTTCACCCTTCGACAGATTCTAGAACATAGGCATTCTTACCGATTCTGTCGACCAAGAGGTACTCTGGCGATGCTTGGCTGCAAAGAGAATGCCGAGAAAAAACATTGCACTGATCAAGGCACTCTACTCGAACTCATGCGTCCAGCTGAGGGCTTACGGCGGGTTATCATCTGAGATGGTGACAACTAGTGGTGTCCATCAGGGACGCCCAATATCCCCATTTCTGTTTAATTTCATGATAAATGTACTAATAGACTTAACCCTAACTCACTTCAGACACTCAGGGATTGACTTGTTACCAGGGAATGATCTCGTTGACTTAGAATATGCAGATGATATAGTCCTCCCTCCTAAGTGAAGACGCGGACAAAATAGATCAGATTTTCCTGAACACCTTGAACTGCTATCTACGAATGTTTGGCATGCGATTCGCCCCCGCCAAATGTAAGATGATGTTACAGCACTGGCCTACATTGACTCACTCCTAGCTTAAAGATAGGGGTTGAATTGGTAGAGCGTGTTGACCACTTCATTTATTTGAGGAGTCACACCAGCCAGCTCCAGTGGGTTGATCGCTGACGAAATCTCAGCTTAAGCCAGTTTATGCCGTCTCTGGCGTAGATGTGATATCCGGCTGTCGACCAAAGGGCGAGTGTACTGCTCACCAGTCCGCTCCGTCCTCCTTTATGGATGTGTGACCTGGCCATTGAGAGTGGAAGACATGAAACGACTAGGTGTCTTTGATCATAGGTGTCTGAGTTCTATCTCCCGTGTGAAGCAGTATAATAGGGTGAGTAATATTGAGGTTAGGCGTTGAGTGCTAAGCAAGGAGGGGAAGTCAGTAGACGAGGATGTGAAATTACATCGACTGACATGGTTAGGATATGTGTTACGCATGCATGTCTAGCCATCACCTTCCTGATAAGCAATGTTTGCTGATATTGGATCAGGCTGGAAAAGAGCCAGTGATGGCTAAACCCAAACATGGAACCAGTCAAAGAAATCTACAACAGTTAGTTTAAACGAGCCACGTAGGAAGGTGTAGACTTCCTGACTAGTTGGGGTCCTCGGGACGGTAAAAACCAATGAAGACGGGAGACAATTGGTGATATGGCTCAAAATAGTTCTCGATGGCACAGATGCATTCACTCTTTGTGAATTATAATATCCGATAAAATTCTACTGCTCTTCCATATTACTAATCTTTTTGCCTCACATTTCTGTTTATTATTTCTCTTTAGAATTTCTCTTTATACTCTTCTCTTACTTTGTATGCTACATGTAGTGTGGCAACTCGAACTGCTACACATCTGTGCAAAGTACTATGTTGAAACCATTCAGTCAGTCAACAAAACTAATATTTGTAAAACACACTAAGTCGATTTTCAATTGCTTCGTGGTTTATTTGAATTAGACATCAACTCTCAAATGACAGAACTATTGCGTGTTGAATGACTACCCATCATACAATAGACGTTCATTTTCTTGTGTACGAATTTGCATATGGTTATTAAATAACATAGATTTGCATAAATAATATTCCATGGATTTGATCTTTATTGTAAGCGTAGAAATTTGGACACTGCGTGGTAGAATACAAATTCCAAATAACATAAGTCTATTTGATAACTGGATGACATTTCGAAGACAATTTATTGCTCATAATCATATCCATGTGCTTACACGACTTCATAACTTGCTTCATATATTTTCATTTCCACCCACCCATCCCCTCTATTTCTAATGCGCCATAGATGTTGCACTTTTCGACTGCACACCTTGGGTGTTGATTCAATGAACAAAGATTCGATGAATAGCCTCTCTTTCCATCGAATCATATACCACTATATATTACTATTATTATATTCATTATATAATATGAGATTTCACCTTTATCCTTCAAAGTAAAGTGTGACTGCTTAACTGTATCACTAAGCAGCAGCAGCAGTTTCCGATGTAATGAGATTCTCCCTGGAGTATTCAACCTGAAACGAAAATATTCCTCGAACGCAGAAAATGCATTCATCACCCTGACACAAGGTAACTGTGAATGTCGTTGCATTAATTGATTTTAAAACCAGCAGAAGAACGGCATATGTACATATAATAAGTTTCTTACATTAAAGAATTCATTTTATTTCAATGAGACATTAAGAAAAGTATACGAACAGGTATATCTTCACGTATACTCAAAGAAGAGATTTTGGAATGATCAAGGGAACTAGTAGATAAATAAGAATGAAGTAGGAAATAAGGAAATATGAGTATAATTTATGTAACATAATGTACTACTGAAGACGGTTACCGTAAACCATAGCGAAACTCAAGTGAACGGCCGTCATAATGATCTTGATTAACCGATTATGTGGGTTCATAGTAAATACGCGGAAATATGTATGAGGTACACACATTATGTTATGAGATGTGAATTGATTATGAGAGAGAACGACATACATTTATCTAGACGAATTTATGAGCAGAAATCGGTTTACACTATCACTGAAGATTCAAATAAGGAATTGGAAGATATTCTTGGAACAAGCAAGAGAATGTTACAGTGTATGACTACTTTTTAACACTAACATTAATTTATATAAAAAGATGTCGCTTAAATTACGCGTTTTCACCATGGACCCCTTGATTGGCTAATAAAGGCTGATCAAGATCATTATGATGGTCATTTGATTGGGTCGCTATAGTTTAGAGTAATCCTGAAGGCCACAGCCAGAGGACATTTCTCTATTATAAACGGCTAAATCTTATCCGATTTACAAAGCATATCACCATTGTCAGTGACACATGATGTGATAATATAAAACGTCTAGACACTTGTATACAATTCGATGTATTCACAAGAAATATTTTACTACTATCATCATTATTACCACCAATCAAGAATCCACTGCCTAAAAAATACACCGAAAGAAATGGAGACGGATCGCGCACACACTGAGGAGACCCGTCAGTAACATCACGCACCAGACCACAATTCAAGTTCCACTCGAATGGGAAACCGTGAGATAGGCTTCCGAGGATGACATGCAGGAGAAAATGTGTCAAGAAAATGATACTATTATATTTATTTATTCCTTTACGTTCATATTGGAATACAGGGCTTCAATTTAGAGGCTTGAAGTTTCGGTAGAAGTGGTGTTTACTTTTACCCCGACCGATAGCTGCTACCTTGACGTGGTGGTCGGGCTTGCATATCGCAGTGACCCAACAAGCTACGCTGGCTGGAACATAAATTCCTGCAGGTTCTACTATGCCAGGAAGGTCGTTAGGATAGCAGTTACCGGCATTGTAAGAGAATCTTTCTTACGCTATGCTGGGGGTCTGAGGGCGAAGTCGTACTGCTGGGAACAGGGGTGTAACAACAGTGAGATGTTTCCCTCAGACGACCAGCATGCCAGCTATGCTGTCTCTCCACTCCGGGGGGAGGGGGTTAGAAAAGGTTGACCCCAAAAATTGTACATCCCGACTTACCCTGTGGTGGTCCGTAACCGGCGGTAAGTTTACTAATACGGAACCAATCTCAGAAACCAGTTCATAAAGGCCGTGTGTGAACGGCCTCAAGCAGCTGTCCCCTGGGCTCTGCGGTCACGCAACACTCTTTCTGTCTCAGGTACCCAAAGAATCAATCAACTTCCACGGTGTGGGCAGCCGGGAAGTAACAATTACCCACACACTTCCAAAAGCACACGAAGCCTTCCTGAGCATCATTTCCCTTCACTCACATCAATTTCCTCATCTTGCTTCTCTACTACAGTTAGTACTATTCTGCAGGCTAATGAGTCATCTTCACTTCACTCTGTGACCACGAACAACGGTGAGAGCCATAGAAACACCCCGGAGAGCCTTTTAAACCCACGTCACCAACTTCATATGGGAGCATTCTGCCAGATCGGACAACAGGCATTACTAGCAAGAACTCTGCTAACTGCTACATGGAGTGTGACAACTCGAACTGCCGCACATATGTGCAAAGTTCTATGTCGAAAACAGACAGACAGTCTACTTTTACGGAATGACGTTGCTAGCCTCATGCCCAACCTTCCCTCTTTACTAGTCTTATCACTAGCTTAGCGAGGTAAAGCAGTGCGTCGGCCGGGAATTGAACTCCGGACCTGGCGCATGATCAGCAAGCGTCCTAACCGCTGTGCTACAGACGCAAGGAAGCGATAACTTATGGAAAATCGTGGAGCCAGCTAAAGTAAAGCCTGGAGAGAATAGCGTGAAATAGGGGTGTGCTGCTGAAACCACGTGTTCACAAGTTGGAATTCAACGGGGACATACTAGTACAATCAACAGTAAGTAAATATGATAACACAAGTTTCACACTGACAGAAACTTGGTATAATGTCAGTAGACCTTAATCTCTAATTTATTCACATGTTATCAGCACTTCAATAAATCTCCTAGGCAATACACGAGATATACATACACTTTTTGACTACTGCAAGAAAGGAAGGATATGCACAATGTCTCTTTCTGTCTGTCTGTCTGGATTCAATATAAAACTTGGCACCGAAGTGTAGCAGTTCGAGTTGCCACGCTCCGAATAGCACACAAAGGTAGACAAGAAGATGAGTGAAGAGAACCAACAGAGTTTGACAAGTATAAGAGTGAAACAGAATGGGTAATGGTAGAAAGGAATATGAAAGATTACAGAGACTGAATACATCTGCGCTATTGACAGTCTCTTTCTGTAAATAAATGCAAAAGTAAAATGGAATAAATGTAAAAAATAATGTAATGAAAAGTAATTATTCTAGATATGAACACCAACAGAAAAGCTCACTTACCTGATTCACACAATAATAAAGGCAACAGGATACTCAAACAAATTACAACATGAAGGAATGGAATAACATAACGCAGTTGACTTTTCACATATTGATATCGTTGACAGGACATTATCACAACCAAGACGACATGAAACAACAACAATCTTCATAATCATAATAATAACAGTTCATCATCTTATAACGGTTATGTGAAACGCGTCTAAACAACAATAACAAATAGAGAATAAACAAACGAAGTAGTAGACTCTGTGCGTATGTGTGAGTGTAAGTAAAAACTCACGTGGAAGTGATATGTTTAAAATATTTTCAAGAAAAAAAATTTTTGTAACATAAGTGATATAATAAAATGACATCATTATTTCCTTAATTAAGTAAATATTGTTTTTTTTCTTCGACTATCGTACACTGATTGTGCGTCGGTGGCACAGCGGTTAGGACGCTCGCCGACCATACACATGATCCGGGGTTCAATCCCCGGTCAAAGATACACTCCTGTACCTCACTAAACAAGAATTAATGCTGGTGAAGAGAAAAGGTTGGGGATGTGGCTAGCAATACCATCCTGTAAAATAAACACCACTGCTACAGAAACTTCAAGCCACTAGCTTGAAGCCCGAAGTGTTTAAGAAAACACCACCTAACCACCAAAACACTATCGTTTTTCGCACAGATGTTGGAAGTTGCACGTTAGCATATCTAACTAGTTTATTAATCAGAACATTCGTTCATAAATCTATGTATTTGACTTCGAACCATTTGGTCGTCCACTATTCCAATTCATAATCCCATCTACTACTACAGTTAAGGAAGCTAAGAGATATCTCCACATAACAACCTGAATTACTCGATAACTGTTTCAAAGAATATATATTCATCAAATAAGCGTAAACTAGAAACATAATCTGCAGTCTGCAACTAATTCAGAAAGTTTATTTAGTCAAAGTATTTCATAAAATGAAGTAGTTTGAAGTATTTATTTATATTTAGGCTACATAATACTTCAGTGGAAGTGTGATCGGATTAACTGATAAAACAACTTTAATAAGATGGATAAGATTTGCAGCTCAGGTGAATGATACTGATGCAATTATGTTCAGTGTGTTGGATGGTTAATTGCAAAGCTTTCGTTGTGCGGCGTGTGCTACTGATAAGATTTATTAGTAGTATATAAAGAGACATTTATCGGCATAAAAATATGAAATAGTAGGGAGATAAGTTTTACATCATAGAAAGGAAATGATTCAGCATTGCGGATAAACAAGGGAGACGTGAAAAAGAAGACAAGGAAACAACAATACGAAGGAAAGAATAAGCACAACACGGAAGATATGTGCAAATGGTGCTTTGAAGATATGCTGTACATAACTTCACTATATAGACACATATACAGTCGCTAGATAGAGTCTCTTGTCTCCTACCGTTACAATTGTTTTACTAGACAGCATACTTCAAATTGAAGTGTGAGCGCTGAATATGTTGTCTAGCAAGACAATGAACGCTTCGCAGTTAAACTATCCAGTTCCGTGAACACACAACTACACTAATATTACTAATTTTGACTTGTTTTTTTAAAGAATATTTCAAAACAGATGAAAACAGTGACTGTCTGTAGTGAATTTGTCAACCTATCCAATAACACTATGCAGTTAATATTTCAGTTGTCATCTGTGTAAGCCTTTTTCCAAACTTATTGCTTATTTCAGTTGTGAAAATACTTTAGGCCATAGATATCATGGTAATCCACACATCAATCAGAAATTAACACGCAATGTAGCATAATTACAAGTCAATTGGTGTTGATAGACACGTTGAAGTGCTAATTGTTTGATGCCTTCACCGCTGGAATTTTTTTTCATTCCCTTTGTGCTGCTAAAGGAACATAGAGCTTCGAGCTTGAGCTCTGAAGTTCTAGTAGTTTGTTTTTACAAGGTGGGGTCGCTAGCCCTCCACCCAATCTTCCCTCTTTTTCAGGCTTACTACAGGCTAGTAAACTAGGCTAAGTTTAAGAGTGCATCGGCCTGGAATCGGATCCAAACCATGTGTGTGATTGACAGGCATTTCACCGTTTAACTGCCAAAGCATCTTTAGACTAGGTGAACTCATTAGCATTCACCTCATGAAGTAATCACCAAAGTGTAAGGTCAGCAGTTTGAATCATCATGAAATAAAAAATAGGGGTAAATTGTTTTGAAAGCGCCATGGAACCAAAGAAACCTGGAAATGAATGTATATGATATAAGTATTGGGACGAAGATACGATATTGGCTCAGTCATCACTATTCATTTCAAGTCATATAGTTTATTTAAGATCCACTACTGGAGGTGTGGAAAGAGGGCAAGGTACCAGAGGATTGGAAGAAAGGATACTTATTCAAACTGCCGAAGAAAGGAGACTTAAGTCAATGCAAGAACTGGCGTGGAATTGTGCTCCTGTCCATCCCAAGCAAAATAATAAGCCGCATAATCCTGGAGAGAATCAAACAAGCCCGGCATGAAGAACTTCGACCTGAACAGGCTGGACTCAGGAGAAACAAGTCATGTATTGATCAAATCGCCACACTACGGATCATCATTGAGCAAAGCTTGGAATGGCAGTCACCTCTCTACCTCACTCAACTTCATCAACTTTGAAAAGGCCTTCGACAGCGTGACGTCGATCTAGAGGTGATTTGGCAACTACTTCGCTACTACCAAGGGGTACCACCGACAATTACACATCTCAATCAACAGTTGTACGACAACGCTGCATTCCAACTAATCCATAACGGGAAAATTACGAAATCCTTCGAAGTGAGGACGGCAGTGAGGCAAGGCTGTCTATTATCGCCAATGATCTTCCTGATTGCAGTAGACTGGATAATGCGATAGACAGTTAGCGGGCAAGGAGGAAACAGGCATAAAATGGACTCACACAAAAAACTTGGAGGATCTGGACTTAGTCGATGGTATATGTCTGATTTCCCACAAACTGGAAGATATGCAAGTGAAAAGCAAAAAGTTGGCAGAACAAGCATCAAAGATGGGACTTCAAGTGAACATAGATAAAACAGAGGTGAAGAAGATTCCTACCCAACATCAACAGCAGCAACAACAACAGACAACAATCAACCAGCATAAATGGGAGGAACCTGAAAGAAACAACCTCCTTCACCTACCAACCTGGGAAGCATCGTTTCAACTACAGGTGGGCGGAACTGACGAGGATATCAAAGCCAGAATCGGAAAAGCAAGACAAGCTTTCACTACTCCTAAGTCTGTGTGGAGGTCAACAGCACTCAGAATCAAAAATAACATCCGGATTTTCAACTCCAATGTAAAGTCAGTGCTCCTTACTACACGGATCAGAGACTTGACGCATCATAAACAGCATCTCAAACAAACTTCAGACCTTCGTCAACAACTGTCTTCGCTCAATATTCAAGATCAGATGGGCAGCCAGAAAAGATCAGTAACAGGGACCAAACCAACCCAGCAGGAATCAATTGTGCAACAAATAAGCACGATGAAATGGAGATGAGTTGGCCAAACTCTGAGAAAACCATCAAGTGACATCACTAGACAAGCCCTCGAGTGGAACTTGAAAGGGAAGTGGCGAGTTGGTCGTCCAAGGGTGACTTGGAGGAGGTCATGTGAAGAGAAGATGAAAGCATGTGGGCAGACTTGGAGCCAGGTGAAAACGTTGGCAGAAAACCGAACGCAAAGGAGACGTGCGGCTAAAGCTCTATGTTCCTCTAGGAATTAAAGGAAATAATAATAAGATCCAGAACGCTACCTGTTTCTGTAAACCTACAGACTAGAAGTAGAAAGTCTACGTAGTTAGAAATTTCATAAAATCATGTTTCAATCAAGACGCTAAGTGGCAATAATAAGCCTAAAACGACTGTAAAATTTTAGCTAAACCACTACATTTCGCCAACTGCATATTTTGGACTGAGGAGTGAAAGTTGTTAGTAAAAGAGAAACACAGATCATAAAGAAAATCACAATACTACTTTAGGCGATTAGACATAATAAATAGTAATAGTAGTGATGTTATCCAGAGGACTTCCTCATTAAAACTTATATCATTTGTTACCACATCAAAATAACCACAAGCCTTTTAAACTTAACTCTGGATGATTTGCAGTCTTATGAGAATCTTGAATAATTCTTATTGAACACATTTCATCTTCATATAACAAACGTATATTCAATATCAGTGAACACTTAGCTAACCTTACATATATGAAGGATACGTTAACATAAAAGACTGCAAGGTAACCACCAAACTACACATCTCGACAATGTTTACACGTCTTAAAAAAAACAGGTTTCTTCTATCTGATAACTCATTCAGATGAACAAATTTAAATAATGCGATCAGCTTAATGTTCCTCAAGTGGAATTTTACAGACCAATCAGTTTCAACCGATGTGATCAAGGAAATGTTTATGTCACCAGACGTTATCATATAGGTCTGAGTGGAATCGTAATCTCAGACTTCTTCAGAATAGATGATTTCTCCCCCCCACCTTTTGATACATTCTTTTTCTCTATTTAAATAAGCATTTAAGATATTCCAACTTCTTTCTGAACTGATACTTCACAAGAGAGTATTACAGTTTCCCTCAGTTTAGGTAGGTGGAAGATTAGAATCCAGGGACTTATTTACTGAAGGTCATTTATGCACTTACAAACTTTAACATGAATTCTGAACTTTTTTCACTGAGTGATTTTTCGATGGGCTACTAAATTTATACGTGGCTATGGGGTGGCACATAGACCCAAGGCATTAGACTTTCAATCAATATATCTACATCTGAATAACTATAGTGTGGACAAGGAGGTTATCATGCAGGCTCACGTGCAGTAATGAGGTAATTGAGACACCCGTTATCAAGAAGCAATGTTGAAAACTTTATATAGCGGATTGAAGACGTAGATCATTCACTTGAACACCTTACTTTCAGCCAGTAGGTTCTGAGGTTCCATCCACATCAGCCCAGACAACTGGATGGTATTGTCTGCGCTGACACAATAAGCATAGTTGATAGTCTTGAAAATGAAACTTATGTCTCGACAGCTAAGTTAAAACAAACAAACAAAGTAGAACCAAATGCCTAAAGGAAACCAATCTATCAAAAATCAAAAATGAGTCATGGAGAACTACTGAAATCATTTATTCTTTTAACCATAACTTTGCGCATCATTCCTATCCACGTCCACTGTGAGGAGACTAAAAGATGTCCTAAATGGAAAACACCGCTCGGAATACACTGGATTCAAGGAAAGCGAATCATATGTGGATCAAATTGCAACGTCACATATTATCATTGAAAAAAGCATTGAATGGCAGTCGAATCTCTACCTCAACTTCATAGACTTTGGAAAGGCCTTCGACCGAGTTAACCGTGAAGCAATTTGGAAACTGCTCTGACTCTACAGGGCACTATACGCCAAACCGTTATCAACTTCACTCAACAGCCATATGATGATGTCACAACGGAAAACTCAGTGAAGCCTTTTAAGCGAAGACAGGTGTGTATCACCGATAGTATTCATGATTGTAGTGGACTGGATCATGGAAGAGACAGTGACATGCGAGAAGACAGGCATACGTTGGACAGAAATGAAGACTCCAGAAGATCTGGACTTCGCAGAAGTGTCACACAAACTGGAAGATCTACAGGCAAGAACCAACAAGTTAGCAGAAAAGGCAGGAAAGATAGGACACTAGGTGGAAACAGAGAAGACAGAAGTGATCAAGATACCTAAACAACAACAACGAAAACAGCAACAGCCACTAGTAATCAGAGAAATTAGAAGGAAGTCACCTCTTTTACCAACCTCAACGACATCATTTCAACTAAAAAGGTTACGGATGAGAATGTCAAAAGCTAGACTGCATTGGAAAGGCAAGACAAACGCTTTTTAATCTAAAATCAATGTGGAAATCTGCTTCTCTCAGTCCATGGAAGAAGATTAGGATTTCCAGTACTAATTAATGTCAAGTCAATCAGTGCTTCAGCATGGTTTACAGGCTTGCTCCTCATGTAATGAAAAGCATTTCAAACAGGTTACAGACTTTCCTCATCAGATATATTCGCCTAATACTGAAAGGAAAAGGGACAAGAAAAACTTTATCCGGTAGGTAACCAAGCAATCAATCAACAATCCAATGCATCACAGATATGCAGAAGGAAATAGAGATGAAGAATTAGACACATACACACACTAAGGAGACCATTGAGTAACATCGTGCACCAGATTCTCAAGTGGATTCCAAATGGAAAACGAGGAGTTGGACATGGTGAGGTTGATATGAAACAGATCTTGTGAGCAGGCGATGAGATCTTATAGGCAATTGTTCAATCAGCTAAAGAGAAGTAAAGAAAACAGAATGGAATGGAGAGGATGTGCTGTTGAAGCCCTATGTTCCACTGGGGACCACGAAGAATGGTGACAATAATAATAATAATAACAATAAAATGATATCATTCACACACCATCATCAATCAATCAATCAATCGATCAAAGTAATTTTCAAAACATTAACACTAGAGAAAAAGAACAAAAACACAGCATTAAAGTTTTTATTTATCCTTATATATATATATATATATATATATATATATATATATATATATATATATATAGAAAATTGGCGTTGAGCTAGTTAGTAGTCAGTATCACCAAAACACAACACAACAAAACAAAGAATAAACGTGGTGCAAGTGTGACTTTCTTTGAACGAAGAGAAGAAGAAGAAGAAAGCAATTACACGCATGGAAATAGCTTTCTTTTGATGACAAAAAGAGAGAGAGAAAGGAATTGATCCAGATCCATAAAATCATAGGCATATATTTAAAAAGAAAGAAAAAACAACAACACTTGTACGTTTCCTGTATATAAACGTACATGTACACAGATGGAGTATGTGATTGTGCAGTCATTTCTTTTTAGTATTTAACAGTAGGTGGGAGGGGAGGGGGGTTAGATTACACTGTAGATTAAGAGAGAAAAACTTAAAGATGAGAAATTGTGAACAAGGGGATTACAACAAGTCGTATATAGAGAGAGAAAGGTTTCAAAAAATAATGATAATTATTATGATAATAATAATAACAGGAAATCATTCTTCAAGAGAAATGATAAATAATGTAGGAAGATAGGCCAAGGATTAAAAACATCATTTATGTGCACCAACATGAAATGTGTGTAAGTGTATGCCTCATTCACACAGTTAATAATTTCAGTCTGTCCTTCGTCTTAAAGGGTTTTTAAGTCAACAAAGAAAGTCAAGTGGAAAATATTATTTAAAAAAAATTAAATAATAATAACAACCAGTTACCAGTTTGTTTGTTTGCAGAGTAAATTTGAACAAATGATGAATGAATTATACGCGTGTGTGTGTGTGTGTAGAAAAGGATTTTTTTAAAGTGATATCTGTATATTAAGAAATACAATGGAAAGATACAGGCAAATACAAACAAAATAATAATAAGTCATAGTGATGATGATGATGATGACAAGGGAATAGGCATTCTGTGTGTGGATAAACTAAACTACAGTTTTATAGTGTAGATTTTACAAATGTTAGAACATGAATCAATCAAATAAAAACAGAGTGTTGATGTCGACAGAATGTGATGTGATACAAAATAAGAAGACAAACAAAACAAAAAGAATAGATAGATAGTCTTGTGAACTCTAAACACAACTTCATCATAATCATCACATTTCTTTTGACAACGATGATAATGATGACGAGGAAGTGGAGGGATCAGAAGAGGCTTTCGTAGCGTGTGACTGTGTAAAGATATAATATGCTAACAAAATGGCTATAACCAATGCCATAATGCTAGTTATCACTATGATAGGACTGGATATTAGGACTGTAAAATTTAAAAAAAATATGGAAAACAATAATAATAATATGAGATGATTATAAAAAACATACTACTTGCTTTGTTTGTTTGTTTACTTCTTTCGGATCAAGCAACAATTAAATAATGGTACAAACCAGTCAAACTCGCCGAAGACATTGGCTAGGGGTCGCGCTATGTCGTGAATTAGCAGAAGTTAGAATTCATAGACCATTGGATCGGATCCCAGTGGTTTAATGGTCTACAAGCTCGCCTTGTAACCAGAAGGTCCTGGGTTCGAACCCTGGTGGTGATTGCGTACTGTGAAGAGTGCCAAACTAGGCTGACGAAAGAGGTGTCCAGTACTCCCAGCTGGTTTTCCAATGGTTCTCTAACTAATATCAGCTCATGATGAAATCCTGTAACCGAACGCTAAGTGTTTGTTAACACAGATTTGATTCATTCCAAATTTCATAACGAATCGATTTCGGTTACAGAACCATTGAAAACTAGCAGGAAGTATTGGACAGCTGTTTCGTCTTTGTTGGGGATTATTTGGCATTACGCAATCATGACCGTGATCAAACATCCGATCAATCAAATCTTTGCAAACCAACACTTGAAAATCAATCTAGTGCTCACTGGTGACCGACTAGTAGATGTAGCTATCTGAAGTTCTTATGTGTGTGAAGTCGTGACCAGTACGGTTCAGTCCACCAAGCTGAGCATGAGAGCATATACTCACCGATAACACTGCCTGGCGATCACATTATATATTCCAAATTGGCAGAAGTTAGAAGTGATTGGTCACTGGATTCCATCCTGAATAGTCAGCGAGCTCACCTCGTCACCCTAAGGTCTTCGGTTCCATCCCTGATGGAGTCCTATACAGGGGGAGAAACATCTGTCTAGTACTGCCTAATTTTCGATGGTCCCCTAACTGAATACAGTTCACGTTCTAAGCTGGAGTCAGTTATATCCCTGAAAACCAATGCTTGGAAACTTCTTTAGAAGTTTCATGTATTATAATAAGTATGTATAATAAACTGACAAATCACATTAAGAAACGGGCAGAATTCAGTAAAGACGGATTCGATACTTGTCGGGGTACAACGTAGACTCATGTGTTCATCAAAAAGGATGGAAGGAAAATCAGTATTACCAAACGAATTTGTTTCAACAAAATATTTGCTTATTTGTCTAAATTAATCTTAATTCCCCGTTGGTTGCTTTCCATTCAACCATAATGCCCAGTCTCTTCTGTCATTTCAACTACTAGTATGGACGCTTCGACGATGCCTGCTGATTATTATGACGTCATTCTGATCAAAAAGAGTGGTAGCGGAATCTAAGGAACGTATTTCGTCCTATTGGGGACTCGTCACTGAATGTAGCTGCATTTCCAAAAAGCAGTTGTGTTCCCACTAAGATTCGAACCCAACGCCCATCGTTACAGAGGTCACAGCATTGGACCACAAGATGAATTGACATCAAGGTTAGTAATAATCAACAAATGAAGTCAAATTCCAAAATACATCATTCATTGGTTAAAAATTTGAGATTGAATTGAACTATTAAGTCATAAACACCAAAAACAAGTAAAATTCTTATTTAAATAATACCTTGAATCTTGATGACCATATTAGTGTACATACATTAAAAGAAATGGACATGAAGCGACGGAATGTTGAAAATATATAAAATACAGAGGAACAGAATTGACGACTCACGTGAGCTACGGTTTGGGACTGATTCAACAACTTCATCTAACAGTTCCGATTCTGAAAAGTCGTCCTCAGCATTGACTATGCAATGGAATATAAAAATGAACGATACCGTTAAAATACTACTTTTTTCACAAAAATTGGAAATAAGACCGTATGTCAAAAAGTACAGTCACATAAGAACTAGTGATAAACTCTTGTTTTACACGTTGAACGATAAAAACAAATGCATCAAACAATACAGTACATTGAAAATACACTTAAAAATTTCGATACGATTTTGTTACTCAGAAAATAGGAGTGCTCATGAATATCTGATGAAGAAATCGAATAGATTTAAAACCATTTTACTTTTTAAGAAATGATGACACCGGGAAGTAAGGATTATTGACTACTTATTTTTCATCTATTTTGAGAAAGTATTTTTCAGTAAAACACCTTAAAATATTCATTTTTGGTTATAGCTTGTTTTCACACCGTATTTTTGGTACAAGTATGGAATTTTCAGCATGTGATATTGGTAGCCCAAATTTTGCATACAGGATCGAACCCCGGACCATGTGCATGGTCGGTGAGAGTCCTAACCGCTGTGCCACCGACGCACAGAATCAAAAGAGTTAATCAAAGTAAATAACTAGTTCTGCTATTCTATACAGAACTTTATATTGTCAGCTAACTAGGCGTTAGATAAACGCGCAATGAGACAAAAGAACTTCACAGTCATAAGTTAACTTAGTTATTTCATGAAACGTTCTATACTTGACTGACACACCAACATCTGCATTACGAAATGCCTCACTAATGTCACATCTCTTCATCCTGACTTCAAAAAATGCCAGGTATAACCATTGTCCCCACATTAGTCTCGCATTTGAATCTGTCTGTCAGTTTTCGACAGAACTTTGCACATATGTGCGGCAGTTCAAGTCGCCACACTCCATGTACCACACAAACCTAGAGAAGAAAGTACAAGAAAAGCATAATAGAGACAGTAAACAGAGGTGTGAGACAAAGAAAGAGTAATAACGAAGAACAATATAGTTTCATTGGAAATCATAAGTTACAAGGAGTGGATGCATCTGCGACAGCCACTGAGGACGATTTTGAGCCATATCAACAACTGTGTCCTGTCAGTGATTTTTACCGTCCCGAGGTCCCCAACTGGTCAGGAAGTCTACACCTTCCTACGTGGCTTACACTAACTGTTGTGGATTTCATTGACTGGTGAATCCATGTTTTGGTTTGACCCCCGCTAGCTTTTTTCCAGCCTGACCCTATATCAGCTAATATTGCCCGTCGAGAAAGGCGATGACTAAGCAAACGTAACACATGTCCTACCCATCTCAGTCGATTTAGCTTCACAGCCTCGTCGATTGATTTCCCCTGCTTACCTAGCACTCGACGCCTAACCTCAATATTGTTCACTTTATTATACCACTTCACACGGGAGATAGAACTCAGACACCTATGATCAAAGACAGCTAATCTTTCCATGTCTTCCACTCTCAATGGCCAGATCTCACAGCCATAAAGGAGGACGGAGCGGACTGGTGAGCAGTACACTCGCCCTTTGGTCGACAGCCGAATATCACATCTACGCCAGAGACGGCGTAAACTGGTATACGCGAAACTGGCCCTCTGTATCCGTTCTGAGATTTCGTCAGAGATCAACACGTTGGGACTGATGGTACTTCGCAAATAAGTGCGGCGGTCAACGTGCTCTACCACTTCACTTCCTATTTCTAAACTAGGAGTCACTGTAGTCTAGTCCTGCGGCATCAGTTTACATTTGGCGGGAGCGAGCCACATGCCAAACATTCGCAGACTGCAGCTCAGAGTGTTCAAAAGACACTGCTCTATTTTGTCAGGGTCTTCACCTAGGAGGGAGGACTATATTATCTGCATATTTTAAGTCAACGAGATTAATCCCCGGTATCAAGTCAATCCCTGAGTCTCTGAAGTGAGTTAGGGTAAAGTTTATTAGTACATCTATGATGAAATTGAATGGTAATGGGGATAACGGGCATCCCTGACGGACAGCACTAGTCGTCACCACTTCAGATGACAACTCGCCGTAAGCCCTCACCTGGCTGCAATGTATTTTCTCGGCATTCCCCACCTGCACCCAAGCATCGCCAGAGTACCTCTCGGTCGACAGAATCGAATGCCACCTTTAGGTCAAGAAATACAATGTTTTTTGGACGCCGGTAAGAATGCCTATGTTGTGTCTGTCTCTCTGGATTCAACATAGAACTTGGCACCGAAGTGCACCAGTTCGAGTTGCCACATTCCAAAGAGCACACAAAGGTAGACAAGAAGATGAGTGAAGAGATTCAATAGTGTGTCAAGTATAAGAATGAAACAGAATGGGTAGTGGTAGAAAGGAATATGAAAGATTACAGAGACTGAATACATCTGCGCTGGCCATTGACAACGATTTTGATCCATGTCACCTATTGTCTCCAGCCATTGATTCCTAGAGTCCCGAGGGCCCCAACCCGGAAGTCTGCATCTCCCTATCTGACTCAGTCTAACTGTCAAGGATTTCATGGATTGATGAGGCCACGTTTTTGTTTGACCACCACTTACTCTTTTCCAACCTGCACCTATATCAGCTAGTAATGCCCGTTGGGGAGGCGATGGTTAGGCATGCGCAGCACGTGACCTAGCTATCTCAATCTATGTAAGTTTATAGCCTCGTCGATTGATTTTCCCTCTTTGCCCAACACTCTACGCTACGTCAACATTACTTACCTTATTAGACCACCTAACCTGAGAAAGCGATCGTAGACATCTATGACCAAAAACAGCCAACCTTTTCATGTCTTCAGCTCGTATTGGCCATGTTTCAGAGCCATAGAGAAGGACGAAGCGAGCTGCTGAGCAGTACACACGTCCCTTGGTTGATAGCCGGACGTCACACCCACACCATAGATGGTGTAAGTCAGCGAAAGCAGCTCGAGATTTTTGGATCCGTGCTGAGATTTCGTCGCCAATCAGTCAGTTGGTGCTGATACAACTTCCCAAATAGGTGAAGGGGTCAACATGTTCTATCACTTCACTCCCTATCACTAAGCTAGGAGTTGACGTAGTCCAGTCCTGTAGCAGCATCTTACATTTTGTAGGAGCGAATCGCATGCCAAACATACGAAGATTGATGCTCAAGGTGTTCAGAAGATTCTGCATTTTGTCACCATCCTCCCCTAACAGGTCTATGTCATCTGCATATTCTAAGTCCATAAGACTATTCCCTGGTAACAAGTCGATTCCTAAGTCATTACAGTCAGTTAAAGATACTCCCATCAGCATATCTATGATGAAGTTAAACAGATATGGGGAAAGTGGACATCCCTGTCGGACACCACTGGTTGTTACCAGTTCAGATGACAATTCCCCATAAGCCCTTACGCGACTACGTGAGTTTGAATAGAGTGCCTTGATTAGTGCAATGTACTTTCTTGGCACTTCCTTCACAGTCAAACATTGACACAGTACCTTTCGATCCACGGAGTCGAAGGCCGCCTACAGGTCAAGAAATGTGGCAATTGTTGGACGCCGAAAAGTGTGTCTATGTTCTAGAATCTGTCGGAGAGTGAAGATATGATCTATACACCCTCTACCTGGTCTAAAGCCTGCTTGATTTTCCCTCGTTTGTTCCGCCCGAGTTCCGCTTAGTCTGTGCATGATTACTTACTTACTTTACTTCGGCTATCTCCTACGGGAGGATGAGCCGGCTTCCTGAACGTCTCGAATCATCGCTGCCCAGGCGCGGCGATCTGATGCAAGGTTTTGCGACAGGGATATCCAATTCTTGTTCCTCAGACGGAGTCTGTAGACGGTTTGTAGCCCCAGGCACTCCATATCAGCCTTGACTGTACCAAGCCATGTCTTCAGCTGTCCACCCCTACGACATCGCCAAGATGGTAATGGCGAGGGATTTAGAACTGATTTGACCAGATCGTCATCTGGTCGGCGCAGAACATGGCCAAACCACCGAAGGCGACGTTGTTGGACCAGTACTGGAATTTGGTTGATGTTGTAGCAACGACGACGCACTTCTTCGTTGGAGAGTTTGTCCTGCCAACGAACATGCAGAATGTACCTGAGGCACCAATGGTCTACTACCTCGAGTCTGCGTAAATCTTCCGCGCGAAGAGGCCAGGTTTCACAGCCATACAGGAGAACGGGTCGTATGGAGGCTTGGTAGACCCGAATTTTAGTCCTGAGACTGATTTCTCTCTTGCTCCATAGAACGCTCCTCAGCTGTAGAAACGCATTCCGTGCGTTGGAGATTCGCGCATTCACTTCGTTTTTCGCTTGACCGTTGGGGAGCATTATGGATCCCAGATATCTGAAGGATGGCAAAATTTCAATAGGTGCTCCATTTAGGGATAAGATTTCATTATTGCTGGTGGATGTGTTCGAAAACATTTTGGTTTTGGAAGTGTTAATTTTCAAACCGATAGTAGGCGCGAGGTGGTTTATCTGATCGAGCGCCTGTTGCATGTCGGGGAAGTTTTCAGCTAATAGCACGACATCGTCGGCGAATCCGAGGTCGGTTATGTGAATATCGGGCGAAAGTTGGACGCCGTGGTGTTCGGTTAGGGCGTGCCGCAAAATCCAATCGATTGTGAAATTGAACAGGATGGGGGATGCTGGACAACCTTGCCGGACACCGCCGGTTACCTCAAAAGTGCGAGACTCTTCACCGTTCACTCGGACTCGAGCTTTGGTGTCGGAGTAGTATGACCTGAGCAGGTTGATTAGCTTGGTCGGAACTCCGTCGAGCTCCATGATTACTGAGCCTAGGATTTTAGTAAATATGTTCGTTAGGGTGATCCCCCTATGATTATCACATGAGGACTTGTTTCCCTTCTTGAATATCGGCATAATAAGTGACTTACCTCAGTCGGATGGAACCGTCTCTGATTCCCAGACGCTGCTTAGTATCTCAGTTAATGCAGACAGTAAACTGTCTCCATCGTACTTAAATACCTCTGGAGTCATTCCATCAGGTCCTGCTGCTTTGTCTTGTTGCAGACTAGTGACAGCTTCAGTAACCTCAGTAAGGGACGGGGGACCTGTGTCTATGTCCCATTCAGGGAGGTGTTGGACGTTCGGCAGGTTGAGCGTGGCTGTAGGCCAATTAAACTGCTCCTCATAGTGTTCTTCCCAGCGTTCCAGTCGTCTATCCTGGGAGCTAATTATGGTGCCATTTTTATCAGAGATTGTTTCACTTATCATTTGCCTTTTCTCACGTTTCCCTGATAAGCCTAAATAGTTGTCTGGTGTTACCAATCGCCAATGCCTTTTCCATCTCTTTCGCATTTGAATCACTAAAAACTTAACGGTTCCTCCGAAAGTGCTAAGAGGTGTTCCGTACAATGAGGCTTGGACAAACTTCTATATCCATTGACAGCCAAAATAAATAGATTGAGAGAAGCTAGAAAGCGACCAGCTTATATTAGCGGGACACTTCTCATAATCTAAAATGGTTTTAGGCCTCATTTTCACAGTGGAATCAGTGCTTATCTATACTTATTTTAGAACAAGGAATTACTCCTCAAACTTGACCCTTTTTTAAAACTGGAAAGTTGACCAGAATATTTACACTTTCAGAGAATTCCCGATGTCCATCAAGGGTGATTGATTCATGTCATTAAGTTGACGTTATAACTCATCATGTACTTTTTATCTACTCTCCAATCCACAGAAAGGCAAGGAAGTGATACAGAAACAAAGTTTCTGATGTATGCAAATAACGAGAATTGATGAAATAAAATGAACTCTAGTTATCTTATTCTAGTGTTCAATTTCAATATCTTCAAATTTATGAATTCGGTTATGCGCATGATACATCTTATCTTGCTTCAATCTGACAGTACAAAGATGTGTTAATAAGGATCTATTGTATAAAACTGACCAAATACATAGTTTCCAACAAACAAGTAGTCTTCTTATAAACTATTCTACACCTTTAGAGAAAACTTGTAGTGGTAGCAAAAACTGATGAAATAGGGTAAATTTGAACCATAAAATTCAGAATATGTACCACTCTTTACAATAAACGACAGGTAGAATTAATGTAGATCCTAGTTATACAACAACAGACGTATACGTGTACAGCTGAAAATATTATTTAGTTCCCATATAAACAAATTACTGTGTAGTACCTAACATCTTTTCATCTATAAGCTCAAATACTTTTTACTTAACTTACTTTCAGGAGTTTTTTCCAGGGTAGTATCCAGACATGATGCATCAATACGATCATCTGATGACGGAATCTGAGGCGTTGATTCAACATCAGTAAGAGAATTATCCGATGCTGAGTGTGAAATGCCAAGATTAACAGAATCACTAGAAACAGTAGTACCAAGAGGAGAACAGAAGTAAACTAAACGATTCACGACGTCTTCCGGAGTTTCAGAAAGGAATTTATAATCAGATAACGGAAGCGTTGGACAAGGTGGAAGCCGAACTAAGACGCGTTGCGGTAACATCATACGCGGAACTAGAAAAAAGAAAATTGATCATACACTAAAATTGTATTACTTTCAGTGCTCTTCAGGTTGATACAAAAGTAAAAAGTAAGTTCTATTAAAAACTTTTATACACAAAACAGGAACCAACCCATACAATAAGAAGTGTATCTGACATTTGCTGAGTACTATTTATCTGAAAACCATCTAGAAAAATGTGAAATGACCAACCTAGTTAGTAGTTGACTCTCAATAGCTCAGCTAGCAGGGTATCAGCTAATAATTCAGAAGCTGATGACATAAATCCTGCCACGAATCAGGTTCTCATCGTCCATTACATTAGGCATAAACATAAAATATATTTCAGTGAAGACAAGCTAAGAAGCAACGAAATGCAATGACGGTGGCGCTACGGTTGCAATATGCCAGATATATCTATTCATTATTTAAGTGTTGGTTTGTAGGGATATGGTTGGTTACAGGATTTCGTCATGAGCTGACATTGGTTAGAGAACCATTGTAAAACCACCTGGGAGTACTGGACACCTGTTTCGTTCTAGTTTGGGACTCTTCATCAGTACGCACTCACTGGGATTCGAACCCAGGACCTTCTGGTTACAAGGCAGGCTCCATTAAGCCACTGGGACCCGATCCAATGGCACATGAATTCTAACTTCTACCAATTTATGACATAGCGCGACCCCTAACCAATGTCTTAGGCGAGTATTTGTCCTCACACCCGACCTGCCGCACCCTACTGGTCACGACTTCTCACTAGAACCCCAGGTAACTACCTAACTGAATAGGGCAAGTCGCTAATGAGCATGTCATCGATATTTAAGTGTTGGTTTGTAAGGATTTGGTTGGTTACAGGATTTCATCATGAGATGACATTGAAATATCGGTAAACAGCATATCAATACTGCAACACTTGTTCTACTTTTCTTATTAGATTCTCTAACAAAATACCGAAGGAAATGAAGATGGATTTGACACACGCTAAGGTCACTGCTGAGTATCATCACGCGCCAGACAGATCCTCGAGTGAAACCCGAATGGAAAACGATGACTTAGGAGTCAGTCAAAGGGTGACATGGAAGAGATCACATGAGGAAGAAGTAACAGGTTATGGGTAATCATAGGGTCGCGTATAAAGGACTGCATAGAACAGGATGCAATGAAGATGTGCTGTTGGAGCCCTATATTGCAATCGGACCTCCAGGAATGATGGTAATATAATGATAATAATAATAATAATAATAATAATAATAATAATAATAATAATATTGATGACTTATAGACATTTGCATCAATTAAAATTCACTGACAAAAAACCATGATGAAACAGACAAGCAAATCTACATGGATTTCAATTACACAATCACGTGTACTTATTTACAATACACTAAAACAAGCTTTCTAAAACATTGAATCAACCTGCCATTCAGCGTAATCACTATTTTATTACCACTTCATAATAGATGATAAAATGTACACGAAGATAATTATATGAAAGTGGGACATAAATAACTATAATGGAATATAATTTTATGAATATATCTATGAAATATATCACCATGGAGAATGTATTATTAACCGGATAGTGTTTTAAATAATTTCTTGTTTACAATTATATCAAAGGTAATCCCCACACAATGTGAATACTAAGACAGAAGTTAAATAAACCTACCTTCTAATTCAGCACTGGTAATGTGTAGTTCTTCCGTTAAAAGTTGTAGTCGTACTAAGACACTTCTTATAAGATCCTTCCGTAGTGCCTACAGGTTAATTGGAAAAAATGTATATGATCTGTACACACACACACCCACAACAGCTGACATGAAATAAAACAAATCGTTAAATAAAAGGTTCTCATCGATCCGTTAGATAATCCGTATACAAGAGTGAATAATAATGTAACAATAATAAGGAATTTTTAAAACACAATACTGTAATAAATAATTCAATGCATAAATACTTATACTTCATTGTACACTACGAACTCAATTTTCAGACCATTAAGGTTACTGATTTTAAACACACTCTAAATGACTAAATTTGAATTGCTAGTCAGTAATAGAATTAGTCTTTGGCACAATAGGAGTGACTTATTATCTCATTGTGTGTGTGTGTGTAGTATGTATGGCTTTACATTTGTTTTACAATACCTACAGGTTAAAAACACCAAGCTAAATATATATTGTTCTATGGATAATGACTAGCAGTGAAATCTAGAATGCGCATTTCGTCCCATTCGAACCTGGATTTACCTACATTTGCCAGTAGGTGATGATATTTTTTCACTGAAGCTAATCCAGCACCCATCATTTCAAACATTAGACCAATTGGGCCACGACAGTCACGCTCTTATGCAACCGATATCAGTCATTATTTGTTTAAATCCATCAACGGGAAAAACGAAATCAACTTAAACAAGCGCTGCATTCATGATTTATAAAATTCAACTACTAAACTCGAACCCTAGTAGAATATCAACATTATATAATTGTCATATTACAAGAGTGAAGTAAAAGATAAGTCAACAGAATGAAACAAAGCATAATCAAGCAGTTATACAGATGTCATGTGAAAAAAGTCAGTTTAAATAGTGAATCAAAAACACAGAGATTCATTATATCGACGAATCAATTTATTCAGTGGAGATTTTATTACGAATAATAAGACCTGCACTAAATAGATTAAACTTATTTCTGTTTAAAAACTTTACTTTTGGCAATTAAACACTACAATCCGTGGGATATTATGATAGTAATGATGCAGAGGTGGTGTTCTACAAGTCTTTTCATAACATACTGTTGAAGCTGTTTTTAGATTTCTGTAAACTAAGAACCTCTCTGGGAACCAAAAATTAGGTGTTATTTGTTAACACTGATAAATTATTCATTTGTATAGATATAAAAGTCAATGCCTTTAATTATTATCCTAAAGTTGATTAAATATGTGTAATAATTTATACCATACAACTTTCTGTATACTATATGTAACAAATTATTTAACAACCGTATGCATATCAATGCACTTGGCAATGAACCACACCAATAGCATGAAGACTGGCGGTACCAACTGACTGGTCCAATATCGGTGGGTGGATATCAAACCATCGTGATAAAGAAAACCATTTATAATCCTAACTAATATATCAGATTCAACTCAATCTTAAAAGCCCCCTGTATTAATCATACATACTTCAAGACAAATGAATAAAAAGATATCATACAATGCTGAATTAATTTTAGAAGTGATGCTCTACAATAGAACTTGATAAGGATTATCGCAAGAAGAACAATGTGTCTTCTGGTTTATATTAAATATAAGAAACATAGCATACTAACTGCTAACAAATTTCTACTAAACCGATGGCTAGAGCTTACTTCTAACAGCTTTTTATCCTTATCTGTCTATTCTAATCCAAGATTGACAATTCTATTGTATAACATGTTAGTATAAAATCCATAGGAGGTCCTATGACTACAAATTGAATCGACCTAGCTGTAACGTTATAAACAATTGGTTAGAGTAATAAAATTCCAATCACAATAAATGGAGACAGATAAAATTAGGAGAATTTCAGCACTGATGTCTCCCTTTCTGTATTAAAGAGACAAACTTTGGAAATACTAAGAGTTATGACGGGAAAGGTATCTAACATTTCCTAAGCAATAATATTTAAGTCATACAGTAAACAACTAATATGAGTAATAGGTACTAATGTTACACGAAATAAAGACAGACTAAAGAATGCAATTTTATTCGCACAACAAACTAATGAGAGAAAAAAGTGATGAAATAAATATTTAAAAATCTTCCGGTAAAATATCTCTCATCATACAGCAAAACTTGCAATAACTGAACAGCATTCGCTTGAGAAATAATGAAACCTATCCAAATTGAGAATATTCTTGAAACACCACCCTATCACTATAAGTACCCTTTGTAGAAGAATCATGGTACTATATGAGTTATCAAGTGAAAAGTAATCAATTAAATGAAATGAATTCCTAAACTCATTTGAATACATAGAAAATGTATGTTAAATCTTGAAATTTCTTAATAAGAATTATTTAAACTTCTTGATATTAATTCTATAGGACGGAAGAGATGAATTTCTTAGTGCAGGCGATTCTTCTATTGAGCTGAGTATCACCACCTGACACACCACATAAACATCTAGAAGTCAAATATCATATAGGATAAAGCATACAATCTGGATTCAGCTAACCTCTACAGTAAACAAACAAAATTATGAATTGCGATAGTACTAGTTACTCCTCACTGCACTGATAAATCACGAGAATGAATCCACCAGTGGTAGAATGCTCACCACTACACCCCGCCGACACACACAAGTGGTCTAAGTTCTAAACCCTGCCTATTCTGCACACGCTTAAGGATTAATATGGTAAATATACAGTAGACAGAAATCTCAACGCATTACATACAATACAAATTCATTGTCATAAATCAAAAATGAGAAGTAGGTATAATAAATAACTATTTGCTTTAACATGGACTATAGGTTCTATCTAAAGTGACTGAGACAATTGAATTTCAAGTAATAGAGGATTGCAAAAGAACATGAAATTTGAAAATACATGTACATAGGATAACACGATTTCACGGTATCATTTAGACATTAAAGTAGAGAAATACAGAAGAAAAAACGTTTTACTAACCTCCAATAAATCTCCAACGTTAGAATTAACTGGTAAAAATGCTATTCCAGGAATTCTACCACTTATTAGTAACCGATTAATTGAGACAAAACTACTCGATGACCCACTAGTATCATTTCCATTATTCATATTTGTATCTGAACTAGCACCAGATTCAAGAGACGATGATGAACTGGCACGTTGCCAATGAGGGAACTGAAAATGATGAACCGAAGAAATGTGGCTTATGCAATATGTGAGAAAAATAATATCAGTTCATACTTCTACTAAATAGGAGTTTAGAGGGCTAGACAATTTTTTTGGAAGATTTAAGGACTAACATGATTAGCAATCAGGCTTTGTGTTAAAGCAAATCCAAAGATATCTGAACCATTGAAACAGTCAGTCCTTTTGAAAAACTTTAAATAAAAAAATTAGGAAGACAAATAATGCTAGATGATATTATTTCGTAGCTTCTCTGCATCGTTCAAAATAATAAAATAAGATGTTTGACTATTACTCAGTTACATAAAATAAAATAAAAGTGCATACCTATCAAAAAATATGACTGTCTATTATTATGCACTTTTATTTCATATTATATCACTGAGTAATTATCAAACATTTTATTTTATTATTGTGAACCGTGCTAGTTTTAAAGTGACCGTAAAGTATCTACGAAAATGTTATAGTCTCTCAATGTTTGTCTTTTTGATGCCTTGTATCTCAGCTGAGCGAACAACAGACTAGACTAGCTTCTTGCAGACTTAATTTCTAGAGAAAACAGTAGTCACTCGCTTGTCAAAAAGACAAACTTCCAAGTGTCTGTAATTGTCAACCAGCATCAGCCATCACAAAATAGGTGATAGGACCCCTATCACATTCAAATCAAGGTAGAAAAATATTCGAATGAGAATGGCAATAAATAAACTCACCGCCTCTCCTCTTATCTTCAAGATACATGCCTAATGAAAACCATGGGAATGTGACATTAAAGTCACTCAAAATGGGAGAAAATTCTCAGCTTGTTATAAAACGGAAGCACAAAGTAATAACAACTGCAACTCAACAAACACCAGTTATTAACTGCAATAATCTATGCACTATGTTTACTACGTGAAAATGAACAATACAATCCAGAGTTGAAACAGAAAAGAATTCCTCAGCTGTCATTTCATAACTATGATCTACGCAATAAGTTACATCTGACTACTTAGCACAAAAGGGGGATCTCGAAACTGCTGGTTTAACCTATGAAAAACGTACAGAAGGTAAAAATTAACCAAAACTCTAAAAGGCTTTGTTACTAATGCCTGTTACATTAGAGAGGCTCACATACAAAATGCCAGTAAGTTTTTGCCAATAACTTTCTCATCGGTTAATCGACAGACCACGTTCCACATGTGTTTTCTCTGGGACCTTGAGACACTGTTGTTTAGTCTACTTGGCGGTAGCATTATCGTAAGTGATGGAGACAAAGCCCTAATACACGTCTGCGGAGTAGGCAATAAGCCTATTAATAACGCAGTGACGCCCAGCGAATCGTGCAAAGAACTTTGCACAGCAGTTTGGCTAATCTACGGTGCCATCTATCCCCAGTATTATACCCACACACTAAAGCGTAACAAAACAGTTTGACCACCTATGTAGAAAAATAGCTGTAGAACTATAAACAGCGAAGTGACCAGATTGTTTGTGAAGTTATGGAATATCAAGTGTTCTATGATAGTGGAACAAGAGACTTCCATTTTTATAGTTTCCTTAATAAACAAGTGGACGAAGTATACATTTACAACATTCACTGAACCGGCTGAAATATTTTGCTGGAAAAATCAAGATAAATATGATGATGAGAACAATACACTAAGGGAACTTTTCGAACAATAAAGTTCCCTGACTGATAAAGTAGTATAAGACCTGTGTGAAGCGGAGAAATTGACCTCGTTGTATATCATATTGCAAGGCTTGACAAATAATGTTAATAATAACGACGACAATAACAATCCTTGCCTTTGTTGTTAACAGAAAATACCATCAACCCAATTCCACTTGTATTCCACCTATATTGCTTTCTGTTAAGAAAGCTACTTATCACGCTGTTTACCCCCCCCCACCCCATTAAATGATGAAACAACTGTGAATAGATACAAAGCGAACACAGTGAATGAAAACTAACTAACCTGTGGCCCAAATATTACTATATCCAGCGGAGTAAATGCTGGACTGACTAAGTCTTTTGAAATTATATACTTTTTGCTTTCTGTTTCAGAATTAGTAGAATGGTTCACATCTCCAAGGGATATATCATACCGCTTTGATTTAGATTTCCTTTTATTTTTCTTTGTCTGGAAATCGTCATCGACGGGCAGATGGAGATCTGAGTCTTTTAATAGTTTTTCATCCAGCTGACGCAACTCCCCATTGATCAAAAGCTGAGTTTCAGTAACAAGAGATTGAAGATATGGGTCAACAGCAGCCTAAAATTTGAGTCAAAAGGAAACTGCTGTAAATCACAAGCAAAATAAATTGTCTCGAATAAATTTTGCACTTGAAATCCCACATTGAAAACAATAAATTTATTATGAGCACATGTCACAAAATGTTCTCATAAACGACTGAAAATACAATCCTTCCACAATCAAAGTCTCAAATCCAGTATATGCAACACTAAATTTTATAAGCTAAACAAGATGCGCTTCATGATACAAAACCTTAATATGTTTAGTTGATATATTTTCCCTAAACGTACCACAGAAGGGGAATGTTGTGAACGATGTCTAACCACACCATTAAGAATCTTTAGTCACTGACCTTTGGCATCTCCAGGACCTGAATGGTTCAGATAAACAGACAAAAATTCCATTGAATGATGTTATATTTTGGTCTGAATGACCCTGATTTGTCCAGGTGACGGCTTCGTATACGTAAAATATGTTCTATACATCTCAACTGATTCACTACACTTCCATTTGCTTACCTACCATTGTACGCCTAAGCTAATTAATGTACTAGGTAGGATATAAAACTATTCGTAGTGTAGCAAGGAGCAAGAAAAGACTCCAAGATAGATGACATGTTTTCATGATATCGACAGCTTAGTTTTACTGAAAAAAATGATACTATATAGAATAAAAGATGGATATAAACAGCAGAAAAGCATTTTCCTCAACCATTTACACGTGGTGTAACTACTGGATAAGTGATGAAAAGTTCCGGAATGCTCTTAGTTACTGAATAAGTAATTGCATTTGGTTGCAAGGCGTTGGTTAAGGTTCTCAGTCTTTCATAACTTTTTTGGCTTTGTTACATTTCTTTATCACCTAGACTCGCCTATAAAGTGTGTTTGTGTTAGAACACGAGATTAACATTAATAGTGAGAATAAGAATCGCTACGAAACTATTGCATGTATTTGTAAATAAATACATAAGGTGTTTTGAATGGATAAAAGTAAAAATCTCGGTCCACAACAGGATCAATGACTAAATTTACCTGGAGCTGATGTGAAATTTTCTCCTTCTTCCGATCAGACGGTAAGTGCGTTTCTAGAGACAATAATATGTTGGTTTTGAAAGCCACCCATCGATCAAAGACAGGCCGAATTTTGACATCTAACGTTCGAAGGTGACTCTACCAAATAAATCAATATCATAGGACACATACATTAGATCCATCTGCAGCTACAGCTTTACATAAAAACCTGAAAGAGAGATAAAATCAAAATATGGACAAACTTTTTAGTTGTAGAGTCAACCACCAAAACTATTTTTTCTCTGTTATCTGGACTGATATACTTGCTTGTGAGTGTTTCATCACGTGACATGTAAGAAAGGATCTAACATTTAGTTAAAGGAGCATTACTTTCTTAATGTGTTCAATGTGACCAGTAAATTCAGAATGTGGGAGAGTTAAACAGATCCCACTTATGCGAACACCTCCAGGTATCATACGAGCAAGATTTCTGCAGTGAGAACCAACCCACTTTTCCTTTATATCTTCAACTTTATTGAATGAGACAGAACTCTTCTGGTTCTCTTGAACTTCATTACTCGGTATTTCAACAGGTAAGAATAAACACTCTTGAGATCCAAGGCACTGCAACATATTACAGAATCATAATAACCTACTCCACCTATCAACACACCACAGTGAAATCCATCCACAGCCAGTAAACGTTCAGCAAACTTATTTTCGAATATAACCTCACTTATCATTTGTGTAGTATCTGAACTGTTTACATTACGCGGGCTCACGTCCAACATCAAAAACAATATTTTCGATTGAGGAGACATTTCAGTCTATGCTAATCTTTTTTCATTGGGCATCCATGCTTTTCTATTTCCTTCTCGAAAGAGTCAAGTGAAGCCTCATGTATCTTTTCTGAGAGCTATTGATTTTGTGGAAGAACCAGTACTTCAAAGTGACTTTGTCCGTCCTTGGCTTATAAACCCCACTATTAATAAGTCTGAGTTGTTCCGACCTGATGAAGAAAGAAGCATAGTCACTCCCTAAACCCTTGCACACCGTGAATAGATTTCCTTCGATCCGACAGTTATATTAAAAGTAGAGTTCCAGTCTGTAAAGTTGTAGTACCCCAATACCAACTGTAAACATGCTTTTTAATCTAATTTGTAAACTTGTATTATATGTGTATACAGACCGATTTTATATGTACTTCGCAAACATTTGTCAATTTACTGTTGAACATTACCTTGACACATTTTCGAATTTGACTACTGCTGTAATACACATTCGTAATCTTCGCAAGTGCCTTTTGATTTACGTTGTGGGCGTCGAGTATCCACAACGTCTGCGCACATCAATAAGAACGAAGAAATACATAGAATATATGCGTACAGCAGTTTAGTCAGACAACGCACGCAACAAAATTGGGGAGCCCAACGACAAATTTCGACCCCGACGACAAATTGTCCATCGCGACAACAACATTTTCACCGCGACGACAACTTGTTCACTGCGACGATAACTTGTTGACTCCAACGACATTTTGTTCACCCGGACGCATCATTACACTTGCTGGATTATTTAAACTCTAACTTTATCGGATATACATACATATAATAGACATTTCGAACTCATTCTTGTGCTTTCTCATCGCACAACTTGCAGTAATCTGTGGTAAGCATCTGCATTGCATGTTTTTCTGTTTTGCCATATTCTTAGTGTGCATTATTCTTGCTATTTTGTTACTCTTAAACCATTTTTCTACAAATTGTAACATGTCTTTTGATACCTCTGATAACTTAGAGCTGGGATCTGTTAGTACTATTTCTCTTACTGTACCAGTTTTTAAGCCCAGAGACCCCATCTTTGGTTTGCACGACTGGAACATTATTTCACTGCCAATAAGCTCACGTCACAGACGGCTAAATTCGGCATATTGAGTACAGTACTACCAGACGAAATCGCCGAACAGGTTCGACAACACATAGTTCAACCCAGCACAGACGCTCCTTACGACAAGTTGAAAGAGGAGGTACTTCGATGCACTTCACTTTCTGATAGGCAAACACTCGATCGTTTGTTAAGCAATGTAGAGCTAGGTGATAAAACCCCATCACAACTCATGAGGCACATGCAAAGCCTAGTAGCAGGAAGAGATATCGATAAACGTCTCTTTTACCAAATTTGGTTGCGACGACTTCCTGCAAACATTCAGCAAGTTCTTGCTTTCGGAGACGACGACATTGACATAGAAAAGCTTGCCAAAATCGCGGATCGCATGTACGAGAGGTCAACACCTCAATCTGTTGCTTCCACTAGCAGAATACCAGACACTCACGATAGGATACAGACTCTAGAACACAAAGTCGACACTTTGCTGAGTCAGTTAGCAGCACTGACCACACGCACACGACCAAGCCGTTCTAGAAGCTCGTCTCGTCGACGTCTTTCTCGGTCACCCAGCACGTCACGACATCACGATACTATTTGCTGGTACCACCGTAGTTACGGAGTAATGCACGACGGTGTCGTTCACCTTGCAACTTTCAGGCTAAACCAAAAGATATATCATCATGTATGAAAACTTCTACTGTTGGCAATCTACGATCTAGCAGTCGTTTGTTTTATGTAACAGATAGAAATACCGGTACTACGTTCTTAGTCGACACAGGAGCAGAGGTTAGTGTTCTCCCTCCGACTACGCAGGAACGTCAACATCCTGACCCTGCAGTTACGCTCCAAGCCGTTAATAAGTCTAATATTGTTACATATGGTAGTAAACGAATGACTTTAGATTTTGGTCTGCAGAATACCTACACTTGGTCTTTCATCATCGCAGACGTTCCATCCCCAATCCTTGGTATAGATTTTCTACAGCAACACAAACTGCTGGTTGATCCGGTAAGCCCTAAGCTTATAGACTCGCTCAATAAAAGTACATCGCTGGTACGATTAGCCGTGCATCATCGCTGAACTTGATGGTCACACGCACACCAGCATCTCCATATACTGACTTAGTAAATCAGTTCCCTGACCTTCTACAACCCTCTTTCCGAGCAACAGAACTAAAGCATCAAGTGGTTCATCACATTAAAACCACTGGACCACCAGTTTTTGCACGTCCTCGACGCCTTGACCCACATCGACTTAAAATCGCAAAAACAGAGTTCGATAAAATGTTAGAGCTCGGCATTATTCGACCATCCAACAGCTCTTGGTCTTCACCGCTGCACATGGTACCCAAAAAGTCTTCTGGTGAGATACGGCCATGTGGGGATTATCGAGCTTTAAACAAGCAAACAGTACCTGATCGATACCCCATACCGCATATTCACGATTTCGCCAGCAACTTGCCAGAGGTTAAAATTTTCTCCAAAATCGACCTTGTCAGAGCGTACCATCATATTCCCATCCACCCGGATGACGTTCCAAAAACTGCTATCACCACGCCATTCGGCTTATACGAATTCGTGCGCATGCCTTTCGGGCTGATGAACGCCGCTCAGACATTTCAACGTCTCATCGACCAAGTACTCCGCGGCCTGCCCTTCGTCTACGCATACATTGACGACTTACTAATTGCAAGTGCAGACGAAACCGAGCATGTGAAACATGTGAGGACGGTGTTTGAAAGACTTCACAAATACGGCATGACTATCAATTTAGATAAATGCGAATTTGGTAAGAAATCACTGAAATTCCTCGGTCACTTGATTGACAATCAAGGAATTAGACCAGTCCCCGACGATGTACAAGCCATCAAAGACTATCCATTACCAGATTCTTTCAAGAAATTACGGCGATTTTTGGGTCTAGTCAATTTTTACCGGCGTTTTATCCCGAACTGTGCTAGAGTTTTGCAACCGTTGACCGACTGCTTACGTGGACATAGTCGTTCATTCCATTTGCCTGCAGAAGCTGTTAAAGCATTCGAAGCTGTTAAACAATCGTTAAATGACAAGACGCTCTTAGTCAGACGCCAGAATGACGCCCCCCTGTCTCTCATGACAGATGCTTCAGATGTCGCCATTGGGGCAGTGTTACAACAGCAGGTACATGGCGAATGGCAACCCCTTGCATTCTTTTCGAAACGACTGAATCCTACTCAATGTCGATATAGCACCTTTGGTAGAGAGTTATTAGCTGTTTATTTAGCAATCAAGCACTTTCGACATATGCTGGAAGGTACACCTTTTACTGTCTTTACAGACCACAAGGCTCTAACGAAAGCCTTATCAGCAAAACAGGATAACTACTCTCCACGTGAACTACGACATCTCGAGTTTATATCCCAGTTCACCTCCGATCTGCGACACATAAAGGGTAAAAACAATGAAGTGGCAGACGCTTTATCACGTATGCACATTGATAACATTGTATGCCCAGACATCGACTACGAACATCTCTCAAACTTACAACGAGATGACGCCGAACTCAAAAAGATCATGTCTTCTAAAACAACATCTCTAAACCTCGAGGCAATTCCTTTTGGCACGACAAAAGTTATCTGCGACACCTCTACGGGTAAATATCGACCTTTCGTTCCAATAGCTATGAGACATACAGTATTCGAGAAGTTACATAACTTGTCGCATCCTGGTGTTAGCGCTACTACCAAGCTACTAAGAGAAAGATTTATCTGGCCAAACATTAACAGCGACGTTAAGAAGTGGACACGAAATTGCTTGTCTTGTCAAAGAGTCAAAATCAACCGGCACACCAAAGCACCACTTGGTCGCTTCCCTAACCCCGACTCTAGATTTGACCATGTACATGTAGACATAGTTGGTCCACTGCCTCCTTCCAATGGTTTCAACTATATTCTAACCTGCATTGACAGATTTACTCGTTGGCCAATAGCAGTTCCATTAATCGACGTCTCAGCTGAAACGGTAGCTAAAGCTTTAGTCGAAAACTGGATAGCCAATTTTGGCGTCCCATCAATTATCACTACAGACAGAGGTGCCCAGTTTGAAAGCCGACTGTTTGACCAACTAACTGAATTACTAGGCATTAAACGAATACGAACGACAGCGTATCATCCTAGTTCCAACGGTATGGTCGAACGATTTCATCGACAACTCAAAGCTGCGCTCGCTGCTTCTTTGACTCAAAACGATTGGTCAACCAAACTTCCACTAGTATTACTTGGTATACGAGCTACTATAAAGAAAGATATTGGCTGCTGTGTTTCCGAACTAGTCTATGGAACAACATTACGATTACCAGGAGAATTTTTCACCCCGGGTAACCAATTTCCACATTACAAATCTGGTGATAGGGAAAACGTCTGCAATTACAGACCCATAAATATAACCCCAGTTATCTCACGAATCATGGAGAAAGTTGTAAAAGATCAACTGTCAGACTACCTAATTAGGGAAGATCTTGTTAAAAGGCTTCAACACGGATTTCTCAAAAATAGATCCTGAGTTACTTGCCACTTCGACTTTTTCAACTGCATCACTAGTAGTCGCGAAGCACGTAAGCTAGTCGTTGTTCTCTACTTCGATATATCTAAGGCATTTGACATGGTATCTCACAGTATTCTCTTTGAGAAGCTGTACTCTTTTGGAATTCGCAACCCATTACTGAACTGGTTAAAATCATTTCTAAGCAACAGGGTACAAATAACCAAAGTTGGATCTGTATTGTCTCCTCCTTGGCAGATCTCAAGTGGGGTTGTGCAAGGTAGTGTCCTAGATCCACTTTTATTCACAGTCTACATTAACAGCATTTGCAAGTGCTTCACCTCAGGTAAACCATTCCTATATGCTGACGACCTCAAAGTCGTC